AGAAAGAGAAGAAAGACGTGTGTGACCATAATCGTTGGGAATCGAACCCACACCCTATCGATTGGAAATCGCTGCACATACCACTGCACCATATGGGACACACACACACACACACACACACACACACACACACACACACGCACACACACACACACACACACACTCTCACACACACACACACACACATACACACACACACACACACACACACACACACACACACACACACACACACACACCCACACCTTTGACCTTTGACGCCCCATCTCCAGTGGAGATGATAGGCTACTGAGTTGGGCAGTACTTGATGTGACGCTTCAAATCGCCACTTCTCCTAAACGCTCTGCTGCATGCGCAATGAAAGTCCTTCGGTGCCGGGGGAGGAAGACGATGTTGATGAACCCGCCTGCGCCATTCCGGGCGATCTTGTGCGAGCCGATACCACTCGGACTCCGGAATATCCAGCGAGCGCAGATCACCGACAAACGTGTCTCGCCAACGCTTCTTTGGCCCATGCCGTGGTCTGGTTGCTTCGAGCTCACCAAACAACACTTGTTGAGGAATCCGGGCTGCGTCCATACGGGCAACATGACCCAGCCAACGCAGACGGTACTCACGCAGGAGAGCGCCAATGTCCTCAGGAAGACGCGCTCTCTGGGCTAGATCAGCAGTATTAAGATGACGGGAGTGCTGATCGCTCCTTGAGACTCCCAAGATGGAACGGACGCATGAGCGATGAAACAGATACACACACACACACACACACACACACACACACACACACACACACACACACACACACACAGTACATATAGAAATATGTTCACGGTTCGCCTCAGGTTCGGCTGGAGGCCGAGTTTTCGGCATCGCCGTGGGAACGCCACCACCCTCTATAGATCAAGGTGCAGATTCAGCTCCTAAATGGACCGCTTGCCATTTGTGCAGATCCACGAAATCCCGTAGAATCCCGTAGAATCCCGTAGATCCGGTAGGGTGTTGAATGTGCAGAACCCTATTGTGTGTTCTGCTATTTCCACTAAGAAATGGGGCCTGAAGGCATTTCATACGAAAACCTTTTTCTGACAAAGATCTAGCTAGTCATTAGTTCTAACCAAAGTGAAGAAGCTGGAAAAGCGATTACTGGTCATTGAATTATGACGCGAAAATTGGTCAAATGCGCATGCATAGCGCACATTCAACACCCTTCCGGGTCTACGAAATTTCGTCGATCTGTACAAATGGCAAGTGGTCCATTGAGCAGGGGGAGGTGAGTAGATCAGACCCACCAAAGTGACCAGCTACCGAAAATCCCATTCACAATAAAACACTCCGAAGTAGAGACAAACTCGGCCATTTTGAATATAATCTGAACCGTCCACCTGTCCACACTGCGCTCTTGGCCCACATTCACAACACCACTCCATAGCGAGGAAGTTCGTTCTTGGGTAGATGTTCCATATCCTCCAGACAGCTGTTTCGCTCATTAAAAGCGCTCCTCCCCCCCATAGAGGCAGACAACGAATAAATAGCAGATAAAGGAATATTCACTGGTTTGAGGGAAAGACACAAACGGGAAAAGTCTGCAGAAATATTTCACTGTCACCACCAGGATTCGAACCAGGCACCTTCGCTAAAGGAATGAGTATAATTTATACGGTAAAGTGGCGCAATTGCGCACTTTCTACATAGAAAAGTTGAGTACCCAAAGAAGTTGAAGGTGACAATAGTTCTACAGGTGATAACGGAACACACAGTGCTGCTGGACCATGCATACAGATGGCGCTAGGAATTTAGACAAGCGTGTGGAGCAGAGAATCTATTAGAAGTTCGCACTAACGTTGGCACACATACATGCATAATGATAGATTGAAGTTGTTGCTGTAGGCGAACACGTCTCTGTGCGTAGACTACGTGTTCGCCTAAAACAACAACTTTGTTGTCAACGGCAGGAGTGGCAGCGGAGGAACCTCACATGGCGGCCGGGCAGTGCAGTGAATGCCCCACGGGCCTCTGGGACTGTCGCGTCGTCTGGCCTTCCGCTTCTCTCACCTCGCCGTCACGTCACTATGGGACCGTTCCTTCAATCTATCATTATGCATGTATGTGTGGCAACGTTAGTGCGAACTTCTAATAGATTGTCTGCTTCAAGTGCTTGTCTAAATTCCTGGCGTCATATGTATGCATGTTCCAGCAGCACTGTGTGTTCCGTTATCACCTGTAGAACTTTTCTCACCTTCAACTTCTTAGGGTATGCCACTTTTCTATGTAGAAAGTGCACAATTGTGCCACTTTACCCTTTAAATTCATTCGTTAGCTACCTCCACTGGGGAGGTGACTGGTCTTAATGAGCGAAACAGCTGTCTGGAGGATATGGATCATCTACCCAAGAACGAACTTCCTCGCTATGGTGTGGTGTTGTGACTGTGGGCCAAGAGCGCAGTGTGGAGAAGTGGACGGTTCAGGCTATTCACGATAAAACACAATACAAAAATTCAAATACAGGGTAATGCTCCCCTTATTCATGGCTCACACATGACGGGTTTACGTGGCTCTAGTAAAAAATAAAAATAATAAACCCTGTTGATACCTGGTGGTCGAGGGGCCCTAGCAGCTGGATTTACTGGGTGACCAATCCTGTGCTGGTGGCGATGCACTTGTAATGCACTTGTAACTGGAAGGATGCAGTTTGTGTCATGTCGTTTTTTGTCGCCACAGTGCCGACGCGTCGCCTCTGCGGCGGATATGACGTGAGAGTCCACACACGGCCAATGGATTACCGCACTGCAATTGACAAGTGCCAACAGCTGGACTCGAGGCTCCTCCGGAAGAAGGAGCACAAGCAACTGATCACGGCCACGTGCTACAGGGTAAGAATGTTGAACGGCACTGGGCTGTGCTGCAAGGCGCACACTTGAGTGACGCGGCTGCATTTTCATTGAGCACGACTGTACAGGCATTTGGGGGTGATAAAAACCGGCATGGTGGAAATGCAGGCGATGAAAGCCAGAGTTTTGCTTCAAGGTCAAGGGTAGTGAGAACGCCTGGCCGAGATATTGCAATGGTCCATAATTATGCAGGTTATAGTGAAAATGACTAGAGACAGCATACATAAACTGTGGCCAATTGTTTCACTGCCAATCGAATCCAGAACAGTAAAAAACACCGTCTTCAACTTTCGATCGCTGAATTCGGACTCGGACTGACGGAAAAGTGAATGTTTGAAGTCACCTCAGCGTGCACTAGACATTCATGTCACGTTACAAACCCGTCCTACAGGATTTGTTGTTGTTAACTTTTATTTTACTTCACCAATTGCATAGACATGATTGCCTTCTTACCGGCCTATTATTCGGATTTGAAGAGCTTGAGGAAGACATAGATAGAGCTGCCGCTGCTATGCGTATCTCTGTGCGTTTTTGCCGGCGTTGTGTGCACCATGATGGTTTGTGGCTATCTTGTAAAAAAAGAAAGAAGAAGAAAAAAGATTGCATGCAGCTGGCTGGACGAGAAACATACCTTGTTGTCATCGAAATGGAGAATAGTGTTAAAGTACACATGGACAAACTACACAATCATGTACAGTTGCGCTCGGTGAAATCCGGCCTGAAGTGCATAACTGGCGCCCAGTACTGATGCGGCCCTTGACGCCCTCAAAGTTGTACAAGTGCTAGTGTGCGCGTGTGCCGTATGAACTGTGCATGCTTACACCAAAGTGTAAAAAACCGCGCCAAACAAAGACAAGTGTAACATTCATTTCAGTTCAGCACAAGTAAAGAAGACGGAGATCGTTTCGAAGCAGTCAGTTTATTTCATACACAGAGCAGCAGGGCTTCATTATTTTGTGTGGCCACCGTCTGCTTCGATTAGGGCTTCAACACGACGTGGCATTGACTCTATGTATGGGGAAACCTTGTCAGGAGCCAACGAGTCCCACTCCAGGTGCAGTGCCTGCACCAGCTGGTCAGCATTCTCGCAGCGATGTGGAATTATTCTCTTCTTGAGAAGAGCCCACACATTCTTGATAGGATTCATGTCCGGCGAGCAGCGAGGTTGAAACAGGATGTTGGGTACTCCGCGTTTCACCTCGTTTTGGAAATGGGATTGCAGAGCATGTTTGTGTGACCTTTGTTTGCTGTTCTGTCTGCACTGCGGACTCTGTACGAGATTTTGGGAATGGCCATGTCCTTCTTCTCGATCTCTTCTTGATCTTGAGCTGTACTTCGTGAAGTGAATGAAAGAAATTTTGAACTGTTTTTAGCATGCAACATGTGCACTCCGAACTTTTACATGAGGTGCGTACAATTCAGTTCACACACACACACAAATCGCCAGTGATGTAATGGGAGCTGGCTTCGCGGCGCCGGCTTTGCACTTCGGGCCGGATTTCACCGAGCGCAACTGTACATGCATTTCTTGTTCCTCTTCTCCTGACAGCAATTAATACAACCGCTTCTAGATGACTCGATGGACATGATGTGGTTAACACAAGGTAGCAATTATGCCTACAACATACGTACGTCAAGTGTTGCCATGGTGCCCATGGACGAATTTCTGCCCTTCATCTGTGAGAAAGGTACGAGGTTACCCAACTTGGTTTGTGCTGAATTTCCAGGTTAAGATTACACTGAAACCTCACTGGTTTATTGAAAACCACATCACCCAACTTGGTTTGTGCTGGATTTCGAGGTTAGATTTCACTGAAACCTCACAGTTTTATTGAAAACCACATCAGAGTTCAATACGATTGTACTGTAAATTCCACGTAAACCCGGAGCAGCAAAGTCTTCAGAAAACCTGGATCAATTTTTCACATTGAAGAAACCTTGCATTGCCAGAAATCACATGGCATCATATACATTGGAAATCAACATAATTTTGCAAACCGGCCTGTTTTCAGCATCACTTTTCAACGAGGAAGAGGCAAAGTCGGCCAAATGAAGCCTAGAGGAAGAGAATTATCCTCTCCACTTCACCATCACGTTACTGATGTAGGCACGAGACGAAACAAGTAAACAATCCACAAGACTGAAACTCTACGCCCACCGCCGCGTCTGAGAATTTTCTATTACCGTCAACATGTGCTAAGAGGACTAAAAAATCAGCTACAGACGTACCTTTGTCGCTCTCTGCTCATGTTTCAAGGCACGAAAGTCGTCTCTCCACTTTCAAACCGGAAACAAGACATACTAGTGGTCCTTTTCAGCTGCTCCACGAGCGCAGGTAGTGTGGACCAAGGGCCGCAGAGCAGCACCCACTCCTGCCAGACCAGCCAAACATGCAAGTGAAGGTGCATGCCTGAGTACATTAGTTTCAGTGCTTCTGCTCCACGCAACAACTAACATTGACTAGCTACAGAGATAACATCCGAAGGGGTCAAACAACAACCATTTTCTTCAGTTTTGTTTTCGGCAGAAGGCTTCTCCTTCTGCTTGGCCCAGGCCAAGAATCACACCTCGGAGGGGTACAAAATTAGAACTCTCAGATGTCCTCGATTGCTGGCCACACTGGATTTTTGTAAAAAAATCCAGAGTTCTAAAATTAGAACTCTCAGATGTCCTCGATTGCTGGCCACACTGGATTTTTTCCAAGAGAACCCTTGGTATTGTTTTTCAGGACAACTGGGAAGATCCTTTTTAACGAATTCTTCACGAGACCGGCTTGCTGAACTCTTCATGAAACCTTGCCGAATTCTTCACGAGACCGGCTTGCTGAATTCTTCATGAAACCTTGCTGAATTCTTCATGACTCGACTTGAACCTTGCTGAATTCGTCAAGAAACCTAGGCAAAAGTTGTCAGGAAACAGATAGGGGGTTCTCTGAGATCGAATCTCAGATCGTTGTGTTGTAGTACGTTATTTTGTGTACGTCGTGTGTACGTGGTGTTGGTGCATGCGCATGTTGTTGTGGTGTGAAAAACAGTGTTCGTCTTCAGCTCGTCATGTCTAGTTGTGTTTCCATAGTCGTCTTGTAATTAACAGTCTTCTTAATGTAGTTATCGTCGTCCAATTGTATAGGTGTGAAGATGGCACGGGGCTGGGAGCAGGTGGAGAAAAGCTACCTACAGCAGTTGCACCCGGTGTACTGAGTCTGAGAGTGATGAGTGATCCAGTCTAATTGTACACCGGCCTAGCTCACGTGTCAATGCCTTTCCCTGTTGAGTGTGGATCTGATTCTACAGTTGCTAACCACCTCGGCATAGCTAATGCTAATAATTGTGCTGGTGTGTATTCTGATAGCCACTTCTCTGTTTTGCCATGGGCTCGTGTTCGTGGTCTCAGCCATCTGAAAGTACTAGAAGCTGTTTATATTTACACTACACAGCCACTGAACTGTTGCAGTGTTAATGGAAGAGAGCGCACGGGCTCTACTACTTAACTGTTTATGAAACTGCAGGAAGCCTCCCCACTTTTACTCAGCCACCTTCATGCGAACAAAAGAAAACATGCAATGTTATCGCATGAGCTGATTGTTTAGTAACTGGTGGTGTTAGTGGACAGTATAGCGTAACTTGTAGTTCCTTGGTCTTTCTCTTTTGTAGGAATTTATTTTCGTACAATTTCGTACATGGCCTCTTTTGTACTAAAATAAATTCTGTACTAAAATTTTGCATTCTTTTGTGTAGAAGAAAACATGTAAATCTCTTTTGTGTACGGAAGTGTTTCCTCTATCTTCTAATATTGCAAATGCTATTATTTGTGCGTCTGTGCTCTTTCCCAATCCCCACTGTCTGTTAGACTGGGACGAGTGCGCTAGTGCGGTGGCTACTGGCACTGACATATGCCCGAAGGGGTATAGCTGTGAGAATACCGCCGGCAATTACACCTGCGTATTAGGTAGGTGTGGAACAGAACGGTTAAAGGCTGTTGTTTTAAATCTTTATTCTCACGATAGCCAGTGGCCAATAAGAGATTATAGTGTAAGAAAGGAGAAAGAGTGAGGAAGAATTGGGTGGGCAGGGCCTAGGGGTTAATGACTACTTAAGTGTACGGGCAGGGGTGGTCGCCACACGAGCATACAGAGTTGCGTACTTAAGTGTACGGGCAGGGGTGGTCGCTACACGAGCATACAGAGTTGTGCAACAGCAGGGATATCTCGGATTTGAAGGGAGTACGAGAAGGGATTTCGCGAAGCTGGGTGGGCAGGCAATTAAAGTAATGAAGGGCCTTGTACAGGGGAGAATGGAGACAGCGGTCAGTCCGCGGAGTTGGCAAGTGCCAAGTACGAGAGCGACGTAAATTATACGAAGGTTGCACGTTGCTAGCAGTATGCAGCGAGAGTATATGTGGTGGGGCATAATTGTGGCGCAGAGAATGCGCGAAGAGTATATGTTTAACTTTAAAGCGTGAAAATAATGTTGGCCATTTGATGCGATGCAAAAGGTGGGAGTGTTCTAAGTGTGTGTAAAGGGGAAGGTGGAGACATATTCTGGCGGCTTTCCGCTGGAGTCGTTCTAGCCTGTCAAGGGAAGTGTGGGACAACGGTGTGAGAGCATTGCTCGCATATGAGAATATAGGTAGTATGTATGTCTGATAGATGTTGTTGTTGTTATTGTTGTTTCGACTCTTTATTCTCACGATGGCCTGTGGCCAATAAGAGAAAATAAGTATAATGAGATTAGTATTTTTTTATTTATTTTTTTCCTAAGTACACAACCTACTCGTCAGAAGGGGAGAAGACAACAGAGTATACAATAACAAAACAGCAGGGAGAGTAGGGGCTGCAAAGCAAGCCTGTGCTGGTGAGTATGTCGCGGAAGCTTCATGTGATCAATCTAGGTGTACGGGTGAGCGTGGCTCGTGCACGAGCAGATTGAATTGAGCAGCAGGGTTTATATATTTTGCTTAAACAAAGCTGGTGATTGAATATCGCGTAACGTTGATGAGGGGCCATTGGAATAATGGAGGGATTTGTAGTTGTTGTTGTCGTCGTCGTCGTTGTTTTATTTTGATTCACAGAATCAAACGGGCAGCAAGCCCAATTACATGTCAGCGAATGTGTATAGTGCGTGCATATATACACAATTCAGTAGAGTCGTGCGCCGAAGAACGTTGAGCGCCAGATTAGAGAGGGACGACTGTACAACAAAAATTACAAAAGTTATGACCGTTTTCTGAAAGGTACTTCGAAGTAGTTATACGCGAATTTGACATTTTGAAATGTATGCACGCACATGTAACTCCAGTTCAAACTTACGGAGCGACTCACATTTCTTTTTACTGTACTCGTACATCCTAGGAGTCCTCTGTGCAGCAGTACAGCTCGACGGAAGAAGTGCGGAATCGATGTAGTTCCGTACTGACTCGCGACGTTCTAGAACGTCACACGTGTCACAGTGGCAGTGGTCATAATGTGTCAGAACGTCACGCGTGCTCAAAAGGTTAAATTCGTTAGTGACACAAACAACGGCTAACTTGTCAACTTTTGGTCCTTCTCTCTTTCCATTTTTCCTTGCCTCTCCATCCGAGCCCTTTTTTTATTATGTATGTGTTATGTACAGTCGACTTTGCTAATAACGACTGCAGATATGACCACAATTCGCGAATAACGACAGAATTGTCATGCCCAGAGCAAAGTCCCATCTAACTGTAATACATGTAATGAGACTTTGGGTATAAGGACACTTCGCGAATAAGGACACTTTTCTGATGCCCCGCCGATTGTCGTTATACGCAAAGTTGACTATAATATTCAGAGTTTGGTCGCCAATGGCAATATAATTATTGTTTTAAAATGAAATTTAGATGGAGGGCCAAGGACCAATATTATTTATGGATAATTTATATATTCATTGGTTTTGAGGGACCAGGCAGGCACAGTGGGTTGGTCAAAGACCATGATTGAGATACGAGAGGTACATGATTCACGTCCTACCTGGGAGCGGTTTTTCTAGCCGTGCTGCTGCCCAAAGGGGTACGTGGATGCCGCTAAAGGGTTGTTTCGGCCCTGAGGCCAGTGGTTGTGAGACTTACCTGCTCCCCCCCCCCCCTCCGTTAGGCGCTACATTTGCCACTAGGGTTAACCGGGTGTTAGCGGCCGTCGTGAATTCCGTTTGGGAACGGACACGATAATTTACTTTTTTTTAGGGAAAGGATGCAAACGGGAAAAGTCTAATTTTATATTTTGTAGTACCTTGGTCCTTTTCTTTACTGTAAATTACTGAAATGTCTTTTGTGTTTTCTGTCTGTTCCCAGCTCCTCCTACTGTGCAATCATCCTCTGAACGCAACCTGCGGCTGAGATTTGGCGAAACTGCCCGGTTTTCCGTGTCGCTATTCGTCACACCAGAACTTTTCTGGAGACATAACGGCAAGCCGATCAACACCATCAGTGCCAGTAAGCTACAGTTGTCAAGTGACGGCTTGTCATTGACCATCAGGAGTTTGGTTGTCTCGGACGCAGGCGTGTACTCGATAGTCATGAGGAATGCTGCAGGGACGGAGCGGTTGAGCTTCAATCTAACTGTTCTGTGTAAGTGCAATGTGAAGATTATTAATTTTCTGACTTTCATGCGTGCGAGTGTGGGGCGCCGGCCTGAGCCAACCCGGTTTGGCACGGGTTTTTAATTTAATTTATTTTTTAATTTTAATTTTTACAATGATCACAGCTCACAGGCAAAAGTGGGAGCATAGCGATGGTAAGGCTTGGTGGGGCAAATCTCTTACGATCACACCGAAGAAGACAGGGACTTTGGGCACAGATTGGAAGGGTCACGACTCATGACGTCTTGGGCGGTGGAGAGTATAACATAACCTAGAACTACAGTAAAACCTGGTTTAAACGTCAACAAACGACCACCCCCACGGTGCAAGCAAAAGCGGCCGTTAAAGCCAGGTGGTCTTTAGAAACCAGGGCCCACAGTGTCTGTGTAGAACTGTCGGTGCATGGAAAAGCGGTCGTTAAGAGCAGATGGTCGCTAAACACAGAGGTCGCTTACACCAGGTTGTACTGTGCTGGAGTGTTGGATGCTGGGAGCTTCACGCTAAACATTTTTTTGGGAAGTTCAACGTAAACGAATTCCTGGGCCTTGTGATCACGCCTTCAACGGTGCTTTTTTTAGGATATCATTGCCTCCCGTAATAGTTTTAGATCCAATAATACTCGGGTGGAGATCCAAGGATTAAAATGAAAAATGAGAAGGATCGAAAGTTTACAAGTTCTGCAATGTTTGTGTTCAACACCATTTAAACAATAATAACAAATTCCTAACATACTAGCAAGCAGGAAACCAGCGAGTCAGAAGGTGCAACAATCAGCAGAACACTGACTAATGTGATACTGACATTAATAAACAACGAAATACTTAGCTGCATCACGCCTGGAATGCGCAAACCAACAGCCTTCCAACTTGGAAAGTTTTAACTTTTGAAATAACACAAGAAAGGAGAAGGTGAGCGCACTCAAGACGAGAACAAGCTAAACATCACAGCGAACTAATACTGTGTTACCGATGACAAAGCGATGACGAAGGACAAAGGAGTATGCACGAAATACGCACATTAGTCTGGAAATGCGCCATCTCAGAACTACTTCCTCCGGAAACCGAAAAACTTCGTGACTCTTTTTTCGCTAATTTTCGCTGCTGTTGTGTCGACCTCTGAGTGGCTCTGCTGGCCTGAAACACTAACAGATGACATTTCCGAACCTTTGGAACTTAATAGGAAGGCATGATTCACATTCTGGAAAGCCGACAGTCATTACATCGCAAGGCAAAGGTGTCCTGCTGTAAACCAAGCGAAGCGACGATGTTTTGCATTTTGGTCCGCCAGGCACATTGCCAACTAAAGCACTGCTCACTGCTCGTCGTTGCTAGTTTTTTTGGGTGGAGAATGAGAAAGAGCAGGCCAGCCTGGCTGAGGAGCAAGAAGAGTGTGACAGGGATAGCAGCTAGTTGTTTGAAATCTGGGTCATCCCCAAAAACACCAGCCAAAGTGCTAACAGGTCGGCAAGATGTCAAACTCCAAACGCAAAGATGTTGAAACCGTCACTTTGCGCAGAGCAGGAAAGCTAAAAAGTTCAAAATCGAGCCGTCGGCCAGTGGAAGAGCTTGCCTTTTTCAGCAGCCTCCACTCCGATGTCTCTTTGGTTGCAAAGGAGAACAGGCGAGATCTCCTCGCAGCAGTCGTGACGTGATGGGACGACTGCAACGCGGAGAAATGCGAAATGTTTGGCTTTGCCGGTACGCGTCATTCCGGGGCATTCTCGAGAGCCAAGGCGATACCAGGGTACAAGCCACCGCGGTCTCCACCTAGACTAGTGCTAGGGAAGGCAATGGTGCAAATCACCTACTAGTAACAGCGATGGCGATCAGGGATGCCGAGAAGCTGCTCCGTGACATGCGAGAACGTGCCGTTCGACCTGCCACTTTGGCTGTTTCCAGCCATGACGAATCGAGCGATGGCCACTCAGACTGAGACTCTATTCCCATAAATCGACCTTGTAGATACTGTACACATATCCATTGCGCGTGTTGAAGTGTTTCTCTTCCAATAGAACACTTTTGTCGAGCACAGTAACTCCTTGAAAAGTCATGTGAAAAAGTCACGAAGTTTTTGTTTCCGGAGGAAGTTCATGTTTTTGAAATCTTGTAGGACGCGTCACGCAGCTTCATAAGTAAAAATTTGGTTGTGAGCAATACTGGCTCACACTCAATCACTGCTTTTCACCAATTCATTTCAGGAAAAATTTCAATTCAGAATGTATTTGATAAGAGGAAAAGAGTCACCATGCCACGGGAGGCAGCTACCAGCCGGTGTGCATGGGATATCGTCTGTTCCCGTCGTGAAGTCCACTATAATAGAGTTGCAAACACATATGCATACCACCGATCCGCATACCGGTATGCAGGCTTCTGGCGCCCTGAACAACTTCCGCCGGCTCCAACAAGTTCACATCAGTTTCAATCATTTATAGCATGTTTTCGTTTGCTTTAATGTATGTGAGTTGCCCACTCAGTACAGAATGAACCATGAGCAAAAATTACTTGGCTACATGCGCATTCTTCATGTTTTATCGAGAGTCCGAATCTAGCCGCATGGTTAGACCAGAAGGCAGAAATGCCAGCGTGTTTGGCGAAGTAAAATAAAAAAACAAGCAAACAAACAAACAGCCCATACTACAAGCCCATTCAACGTGATGTAAATCACTTTCCCCACTGCATAACCCACAGCCCCACCCACAGCATCTCATCTTCTCATAAATTGATCTCTTATCGGCAATGGTGCCATCGTGAGAATAAAGAATTCAACAACAAAAAAACACAACGGACAAACTCCTAAGTTGCGGATTGCAGACGTATTCAACCCTGACTATTGATGGGATAATATTACTGTGTTTGATGCTGTCTGTCCTCAGCTCCCCCTATATTACAGGCTACTTCACCACGTTCTCAATCCAAAAGAGTAGGCGATAGCGCACTGCTTTCTGCTAGGCTTGTCAACACTCCATATCCACCGGTGACCATCGTCTGGACGCGTTGGGATATCCCAAACAGCCTCACCAGTAGGGCACACATATCCAGTGATGGCTTGGCGTTGAATATCAGCAGTTTGCAGTATGAGGACCATGGCCGGCACACCATGACCGTCACCAACACTGAGGGAGAGGACTCTCTCACATTCCGTGTTCGCATGGATAGTAAGTGTGTTGCAGGCCATAGTCTGTCGGGGGCAAAACACTACAAGGGTGTCAGTGAAAACACTCCTGTTGCAGCTTTTATAGGCAGACAGACTCCGTACGTTAGCGTACGGGGATACGGTAGATATATGCTATACCCTATATGCTATACGCTACAGTAGGTTCTGAAAAAATTCAGTAACATTTAGGGCCGAAACGATTATAAAGATTACTCGTATATCACTCGTTAGGGATGAAATCGATAATCGTTATATATTATGATCGATAACGATTATGACTGTACAGTGCGAGAGCGGTCACGACGTCAGTACATGCAGACGATGCATGGCATCGATGCATCATACACACGCGTCATCAGGTCATGCGCGCAAGTACATGAACGTTGAAGTACACGTGTATGAAGCCGTAGGTCCGTACAACCATTGTGCGCTTGATCCTTTTGGGTACTCGATCGTAGGCGTGGATCTACATTCCGCACTTGTTCGGAAAATCGGTAAAACCAATAAATCAATCGTTAGTGTTATGTGTTGATCGTTAAGGCAAAATGGGCAATCGCTTTGGCCCTAGTAACATTGAAGAGTGTCATGTGAAGACCGTTTTGTACTTTCTCCGCGTCATCGAAATTGTCGCAGGTTGACTTTTGACATAAAACTGGGTATATACTCACCAGCAGTCGTACCACGGCTAAGGAATCAGACATAGACAATAGTCATCAGTATAGGGTGACGGCAAAGTTCTGTTTTCTGTTGTTGGAAGCTGAAAATTTTGAACTAGACGCAATTTCTTCGCTGATGTCGCTGCGATGGTACTTTCGACTCGCTGAGACCAGTCAGGCGTCGCAGCCTGTACATTTCTCGCGCTTATAGCCTTTCAGTCAAAAACTCATCACTGTTTTACCTGAGCTGGGGTGAGAATGACTTTGTCACCGGGAGCAAGCAGCAGCGCTTGGAGAAACATCGAAGGGTCAGCAAACTAATGCATTCAAGAGCGATAAATTTTATCGCTCTTGCATTCATGCAAAGGAATGCTGAGACACTCAGTAGCTGAGTACCTGCAAGGGCCATGTAGACTCTGCGCGTAGGCTGTAGTGCTTGTTGCTGATGCACGTGCAGGTACTGTACCAGAGATGGTGAAAAAGAGTGCGTGCTCGACGTGATAGTACGATTACCTGCATGAGCAGTGACCACACAGCTAAAATGAATGGGCATCCCACAGCTAAACAAAAAGTTCATTTCAAGCTCGAGGTGATTCCACCGACAGTAATCAACCGGCCTCGCAACGATCTGCGTTGGTGGAGAAGTAGAAATCATCCAGAGCTAGCAGCCGACAAGCATAGGAGCTCTTGTCCTGTGGAGAATGTCAAAGCGTTTGAGATGAGGCGTGACCAACTTACAAACTTCCTGGAAATTTTGCGGAGCGATATTTTTCCGTCCATTGATATCAGCGACGACGAACGAGGCCTTCAGCTCCGTGTGAAACTCTCAGTCCAACTGTCCTGGAACGTTACTCTAGACTTCAGACTATCATACTGTGTAATAATTTTGTATGGTTTAGCTTATGGAGTTGTCAGTAACAAGTCACAAGTCACTGGTCAAACCGCGACAATATCGATGACGCGGAGGAAGTAGATCTTTTCAAGCGGTAGTTTGGAGGCGGTGAAAATAGTTTCGCAATCTATACCTTTGCATGCAAAGACGCAAATCCACGCAATCAAGAAGACGCTTCCTTTCATCTATCAAACATTTTCTTTCTCTTCAGGATAGTACAGGGAGTGTTGGAAATTTGTAATTTGTAATTTTTTTATTGTTTAAGTATTCCCCAAAGGCTTTCGCCTATCGAGGGGGTTTCCAAACTTTCCATAATACCAAATCTGTGAAAGAAGTGATGAGCAATGTCAAGCCCATAACTATAATTATAGAGTTTGCAAAAAAGAAAGAAAGAAAAACGTCAACGCTTCAACATACGGTAGGTGATACAATGGCTTTAAAAAGTGCTAAAAAAACCTCAAAAACAGAGGCTGCAAGTTGTGGACAAACATGTTGCACACATGTTGCACACATCAGGAAATACTGGTCACACTTTTACGATGTGTGACACCGAACAACTGCAACAATAACACATTCTCCTTCTGTACACATAGTTCTGGATCTAATTTACGGATAGAGCTTCTAAAGTGGTGTTCACAACTGGCGCGTGTATGCTTGAAACCATGTGTTTATGCGTATTTTTGCTGGCTTCTGGGGCGCCATGCGTACGGAAGCGCGCCGAAACGGAAATTCCAACATGTTGGAATTTTCAGCGCATATCAAGCGCGTACCAGCGTACACACCAGTCATTTTGAGTTGCGGGTAAAAAATTAGTACTCGGAAGGCGCCGCACGCCCTAAATACGAGTCGAATCGCTGTTTTTTGTGAAAGCCTGAGCGCGCGTTTGGGCACGCATGAACCGCAAGCATACCGCGTCCACTCGCCAATTGGGAAAACAGCTTTACTCAGCAAGATGTAACTTGACCTTCCACGAGTTGAAATAGAAAAGGCATCATCACTATACAACTTACGACAACTAGCACTGCCCGACAAATGACGCTTGATGGACGATGTCCGATCACCTAACTCCGTTGTGAAAGTGTGACCAGTGTTTCCTGATGTGTTCAACGTGTTTGTCTACAACTTGCAGCCCCTGTTTTGAGTTTTTTTAGGACTTTAATCATTTATCACCTACTTCCTCCGTTAACAAAAACTTCGTGATGGATTTTTGAGGGACTGGTTTGCGCATAAACTGCCGTGAAATGAGTCACAATCACTTTCTCGGCCTTCTCTCGCCATGAAAGAGGTACGATGCAAGGAAAGCGACCTTTCACAACAAGGCGAGCGGAATCGATTGCTGCGCTGTGGAAACATAGGTGCTGACCGTCACGGCGAGCGAAACTGAAATACCACTTATTGGAGGGGATAATACGCTGCTTGGCCTCTCTACTACTCTAGCACTGAATTTGAGAGTGATAGAGAGCGATGGAACGAAGCAGCGAGCCCACACAATGAGCGAGTGAACAAGGAGCTGCTCCGATTGCACGGTGCAATGAAATAATTCTGAAGTCAAGTTCTTGTTCAACCTGCGCAAAGCCCAGCTTCGAATGCGGATGACCATGAATTCTTCCAGAAGTCTACAGCCCGACTCGAGTCTCGTGGCCAAAGAAAGTCGACTGGACTTGCTAGCCACTGCTGTTCAGTGTTGGCAGGGGTATCCATCAGAGAAAATGGAATCAGTTTGGCTGTGCCTTTACTCCTCGTTTCGCGGAGTTCTGGAGAGCGAAGATGAAACCAGGGAGTCGTAAAATATTTTTACGTCTCCCTGGTGGAAACGAGTAATCGCCTCCGCGGCGGATCACGCAGCTTGGAAGCCAACTTACTTACTTGAACGATGGCGACATCAAGTTCAGCGGAGTGTGATCAAAGAAGTGGAGGCAAGGCTGAAACGAGCTGAACAATGACTCGAGAGAGAGATGATGATTCGCGTTGAGCAGATGATGACTCGCGTGCAGCAGATGACGACAGCGACACAGGGTCAAACATGGGTCGAGCGAAAGCCACACAAACTGAACTCTCTGCTCATGCCGCCAATAGTTTCTCTTGTAAAGACGCTGTACATCGGCTGAACTACCTTCGTCCAATGATTTGCAGTCGATACAAACTGTTCTTGATCTGTTCTAATCGTTTTCGTATCCATCAAAATCCATCACGAAGTTTTTGTTAACGGAGGAAGTATGTTGAAGTGCTGACTTTTTTTCTTTTCGCAAACTCTATATGAGGCATCGGCAGCAAGAACCGGGGTCCTGGCGATTTTTCAAAATGTCAATATTTGCGAAAAACCGAACCAATGTCGTTTTTTAGTCACCGCGATCAAAGCGGAAAGACTTCTTGCGATATCGCTTTGAAAGTGCTTTCCTCTTGGTGGCTTCACTATAATTCGTTGTCATTGCAGTTGTAGTTTATCCGCCAAGCACTTGGGACATCCAGGTAGGCGTTTTCAGCCACCATGGAGGCGTTTGCGCTCTGGGTAGCGTCTGCAAATCATGCGCTGAAAAGAGAGCGGAACAAATAATTTCTTGGTGGAACGATCCCGTCACGAATTCTTGATGGAGCACGAGCGACTAGAATATTTGGCAGCTGGATCTCCAGAGATACTCCGCTGCCTGTGATAGTCCCCTGCAAGAAGAATCAGGTGAAAGTGAAGAGGTTTCGCTCAGATGACAAGCCATCAGCGGAGGCAGCGCAGACGACGAGTTTGAGAGCTCCGTGACACGAAGTGGCGACGCGGACAGCAGCGCGGAGAGTGACGAACGAGATTCAGTACTCCGTGGCGACTATTCGCAGCTGGATAAGTTGGTGAGATACGAAGACAGCCCTGAATGAACTAAACCTTACTTGATACAAGATATTTTGTGACTAAAATTGTTGCAAGTATACATGCACGCTTGCGGTGCGCATGAAATTTGTCACAGTATTATACATGTATCTACGAGCTGCTGTGCGTAGGAAAGCAAGACATGCTTGGTGGATGTATCTGGCTTGGCCCAGCATGCATATCTAGTCTTGTACTAAGTTGCAGATTCTTCCCAGCCATGTAAAACGTCAGTTGCTTGGCTTCTTTCTGTCTGACAAGTCTGCATACAACACCAGACCTGCACATGACAGGGATTGAGTTTTCAAGTAACATTGCAGCAAGTGCAGGCAACAATGTTACTATAATATCAACTAGAGTACGCTGTGCTTCCCTGAAGACCTATAAATATGCTAAATTGTTCTCAGTCACTCCATTAGAGCTAGCTGTAACTGCGTTCCATTTTGCCTTTTTGCTGACCATTTTTGTTGACCGTCACCCATCATTTCGGGCGTTCTTTTTACCATCTTGGAAGGTGCCCAGAGCTCCAAAATTTGGCCCATAGATCACTCATTTAGTGGACAGTTCAAAGCCATCAAAAACTCATTTTCGCCAAATATCACCTAACCCTGGTTTTTGCTGCCCATGCCTCAATTATAATTATGTGTTTTGCCGGAGCACTACAAGACCCACCCTCTCCTGGCATATATACCGGCATGGTCGGCACCCAATCCTCATGTTGCCTGATGATTGTGAGAGCATGAAACTTGAAGTAGCAGCAAACAAGCCTTGATTGTCCTTGTTGTTCTGTTCTGTAGTTATGTGTTTTACATATTTCCAACATTCCCTGTACTATCCTGAAGAGTAGGGAAAGAAAACGTTTGATAGATGAAAAGACGGTCTTCTTGATTGTATGGATTTGCGCCTTTGCATGCGAAGGTATAGATTGTAGATCTTTTGTTTCACCATTGTGATAAAAGTATCTTGAGTGGTCTCAAAACGTCTTTTGTTATTTCAAAAGAACTCTCTATGCTAAGTATCTCTCATTTCCCTTTTCTCTCTTTCTCCCTTTCTCTCTTTCTCTCATTCTCTCTTTCCACCTTTCTCTCTCTCTCTCACTATTTCCCTCTTTCTCTCACTCTTTTACACTCATTCTCTCTCTCTCTCTCTCTCTCTCTCTCTCTCTCTCTCTCTCTCTCACACACACACACAAACACACACACACACACACACACACACACACACACACACACACACACACACACACACACACTTACACACACACACTTACTTACTTACTTACTTACTTACTTACTTACACACATCCATTGGACCATTGGACGCCCATCGCCGGAGGCGATGATAGCGATGCTACAGCAAAAGCCATAGCAGCTTGTGCTGGGATTGCATCATTCAACAGCTTGCAAGGCTGAAGAATTGACCGCCACTATTCAGCCTGGTCTACACCACACAGCTATGAAGTGGCTTTTTCTGGCCAGTGAATCCCTACTTTTTGGTCTTTTTTTATTTTTTCCCGCACACACATCACACCACATACTCCGGCATGCACTGGCTGTTGGTAACCACCCAGGAGAATGAAAGAAAAGTCAGGAAGAGTCTGAGAAAGAGAAGAAAGACGTGTGTGACCATAATCGTCGGGAATCGAACCCGCAACCTATCGATTGGAAATCGCTGCACATACCACTGCACCATATGGGACACACACTTACACACATACACACACACACACACACATACACACTTACACACACACACACTTACACACACACACACACACTTACTTACTTACTTACACACACACACACACACACACACTACTACTACTACTACTATGTACAGCTACCCTATCGGGCCACGCCGCTCCCAGAAGCGGGAGACAACGACAAGAAGAGAGAAGAGAAGAGAGAGAAATCGCAAAGTCAACAATATTTGGCATGGCGTTGCAAGTCCTGTGGCCTTGAGAACCGTCTTTCGCAATGCTCGCATTCATGACGGCAGTTGTTCCTGGCTGCACGTGACATCCGTTTCGCACACACACACACACACACACACACACACACACACACACACACACACACACAAACACACACACACACACACACACACACACACACACACACATACACACCTTGGTCCTTGGTAACACTGCCATCAAATGGTCACGTGTCCCCTGTGCAGGGGTCGACAGCACTGAGTTCAGCATTGGATCCAGAAACGCCGCTCTACTTCCTGGACAGGAAATTAGCACAGCTATGCAGGTCGAAACCACGGGATGACTTGCAGCAGCGACCGCAGCCGAGACAATGCGCTCTGCAGCAGGGCAGGGCAACCCGCTGTTTCCGGACCGAGTCTGCCGATGCCACAGCCGAGACCGACGCCACTTCAGCAGCCGAGTTGGAGAGACACCTATGCGAAGCTAGCCCGCCAGCACTCAAGAACCATCTCCCGCACGCATTACATAGTCGGCTGCCGGACTGCTCAGATATGGGCTTCCTCCTCTCGGCCAGGCACTTGTGGCGATTCTTGTATTTCTGGTGGGCGAAAGTACGCTGGCAGACATCGCAGAGCACAGAAGTGTTACGCTGAGCCGATCGCGGTACTGGTTGAGTGGAATACGCACTGCGCCATTTCCCACGCTCCTGGGCGAGGTCGTACCATTCCGTGTGGTCGATGTTCACTGCGGAGAGGTCAGCTCTGACAGAGTCTCGCTACCGCTTCCGAGGACCGCAAGCCAGCCTCGGCGGAAGGAGCGCCGCGTGACCAAACAGGAGCTGGCGCGGAGTTCTATCGCCGTCCATCCTAGCTAGATGGCCTAGCCACTCCAGACGGCGGCGAAGAACACGTGTGGTAATATCCACTGGATCTCGACGATTCCAGGCCTCCAGAATGGTCTTCCTGTTGATGTGGAAGTCCCAGGTGTCTCTTCTACCGAGGGCTAAGATTGCGGAAATGCAGCACACACACTTACACACACTTACACACACCCTTACTTACTTACACACACACACACATACACACACACACACCCACACACACTACTACTACTACTACTATCAATCAGCTACCCCGCGGACACACACACACATACACACACACACACACGCACACACACACGCACGCATGCACGCACGCACGCACGCACACACACACACACACACACACACACACACCATTGGACCATTGGACGCCCATCGCCGGAGGCGATGATAGCGATGCTACAGCAGAAGCCATAGCAGCTTGTGCTGGGATTGCACCATTCAACAGCTTGCAAGGCTGAAGAATTGACCGCCACTATTCAGCCTGATCTACACCACACAGCTATGAAGTGGCTTTTTCTGGCCAGTGAATCCCTACTTTTTGGTCTTTTTTCACACACACGCACACACACACAGACACACACACGCACACACGCACACACATGCACACGCACACACACACACACACACACACACACGCACACACACACACACACACACACACACACACATACACACACACACTCTCTCTCTCTCTCTCTCACTCTCACCTAATACCCAGTATTATATCTGCTTTGCTGGTTCACTTTGCCCGTGCACAGTTCCGTATCAGCTTTGGCCAACACTCGTGCATGGTGGCGGAACCTTCACATATCCCGTGGGAATCCAGCGTAACTCCATCCGGGTGGACACATGCTCTTTCCCAGCGTCAGCGCCACAGCTTTCAAGCGTAGATTATCTGGCTTGGAAAGAACACCGCACACCCCTAGTCCGCACGTTAACGCGCGAAAGCCGGACTTTGCCGTTGAGTTGGCCAGAGGACGGTGCCCTCTCGGCGAGGGATAGCGGCACCTACATTTGCACATGGTCGGCTACGTTTGCACCTTGGAACAGAGCATTCACCAATATTGAAGCAAGCAATTCGGTGCACTTAAACGTGATGGGTGAGTCGAATGCGCCGTGCGATGCTGCTGTCTTGTTCCGTGCACCGAACGTCTGTTTGCAGTGATTTAACCGGCATGAAATAGACGGTTGGGCTGGGTGTAGTGGCTGGGGGAGGGTGGGGGAGGGGGGGGGGGGCAGGAGGCAGGGGGAGAGGGCATGGGAGTACAACATTCCTAGCATTGTAATTTCTGCAGTGAGAAGCCACACCGGGTCTAAGCCTAAAACGCCTTCTTTTGGATCAAAAATCTGTATTGTTGCTGAAATTCTTTCCACCGAAACGACTACTGTAATGAAGTTGGTTGCTCCAACGAGGAGCACACGCTTCTTGCCGAACTTGACACTTGACTGACTCACGACTGCCATCCGGAGCACACCAGGAGCACGTCGCACCTTCCGCTCGGCAAACCTGAAAGAAAGCACCACTCCCTGCTCAATACACAGTGTTTCGGGGAATTCACCCCTCATCAGTTGAGCTTGAGTAGGCTGAGGAAGATTGTGCCTGAAAAGCACCACTTATATACTGCTCTCCAGGCCAAACCATCACCAGGGATACAAACTTACAGAGACGCTTTGTTTCCAGCGCGACAAACACCTCGTGAAGCCCCAGGTAGCAGCGTGAGTCAGAGTCGCTCATGGAGTTGTGCTAAACAGACGTTGAGAGCCAGTATAGCTATTCACAACGCTGTCACCTCCAACAACTAGTCGCACGTCCGCGTGAGGGACAACAATACGAACTTAGAAGTTGCGACTTCGGCGGTAATGTCATGAAGTTGGTTGCTCCAACGAGGAGCACACGCTTCTTGCCGAACTTGACACTTGACTGACTCACGACTGCCATCCGGAGCACACCAGGAGCACGTCGCACCTTCCCTGGTGTGCTCCGGATGGCAGTCGTGAGTCAGTCAAGTGTCAAGTTCGGCAAGAAGCGTGTGCTCCTCGTTGGAGCAACCAACTTCATGACATTACCGCCGAAGTCGCAACTTCTAAGTACGACTACTGTAGGACATGTATATATGAAGTAGATCTAACGTTCTAACGAGTGGCATTTCTTCGTTATAATATGTTCTGTTGAGGCTCTATTGCCTGATATGTGATATGTGCGGATATGCCTGAAAACTGCAAGATCGTTATCCTACGATCTCGTTAAATTAACCTATGGATTTTGGACAATAGTTAAATTTGCGACTCATTATAATAACATGTCTTGCAGTAATGATACCGAACATGAATCGCTGCAGAAGTCGTATGCATATGTGTAGCTGGACACTCGGCTAGTCAGGAGATCTTCACCGACCCCAACGTCTCGGGTTCATAGCCAACACGACGAGTATAGAGTAGAGTAGAGTCGACATCGTAGACTGCTGCAACTCAGCATTGCACTGTTTCAGCGGTGAATGAAGTTTTCCGCTGTATTCATCAGCTTACAAGTCCTCTTCTTTCGTCAATGTTCACCCTCCAGTCGGCTGCTACTTGCACCGAGAGGCGCACTAGAGGGCAATCATTCTCTTCACTTTCTTTGCCCGCTGCTACCACTAGATATGGCATGTTCTCTATTTCTTTCCTTGGCGCTGATAGGTGGAATTCTCTGCTTGTCTCGTGTCGTCAGGTTGAGCATCTATCCGTTTTTGTTTCGCTCTGTGAAGAGCACTTAGGGTTCCCTGTAACAAGACGGCAAAGTCTGTAGGGCCTTCCCTATCAAAATAATAAATTCTACTACTACTACTACTACTACTACTACTACTAAGTATGGAGGGCCCGAAAATACATGCACATTTTTTCTTCATATTTTGGTCCTTTTGACTCAAGCCGGTAGGATAAAGACACGGCTTAAGTACAGTGAAACCTGTCTAACACGACCGCTCAAGGGACCTTCAAAATGTGGTCTCTGTTACCAGGTGGTCGCCTTATCCAGGGTCACTTGACTGGAAATAGCATCCCTTGGTCCTGGTTGCAGTGGTCCGGCTTCTAGGACAGGTGGTCGCCTTATCCAAGTGGTCGCCTTGACAGGTTTTACTATACCAAATCTAGCATATTTTGCTACAAGGAGCCAAGAATTCGCATACAATTTGCTTTTTATGAGCTGTGGTGGTGTTTGTGCATGGTCTTTGTAAAGTGCTACTACAGGGATCGAAGTGCTGCACATAGCCCTTTCCCAAAGATGCTCTTTTAATTCGCACTTAGTGCTTTCCGCGTCCCTCAAAATATGCTGAAAAAGTGCTCTTTTTCAGTAAAAACAGGCAAAAAGTGCTCTTTTTCAGTGAAGCATAGCCATGATACATGTTCAGATATGAATCGAAGTTGAGAAATGAATACGCACTCTTCCATTTATGGGTCCACGAAAGGCAAAACAGGAAAAAAAGTTCAAAACCCCACTTTTTACAGCATTGTGTACACCGGGTACAAGCTTCACCAACGTATTGCCCCCAAAAAAGCGGCGTGCCAACTTCCAAGGCCCATCGTGCATCGAGCACTTGGAAACTGTGATCGCATGCATGAGCAAACAGATTTTAGCACTTTTTCAGCTTAAAAAAAGCTCAAAAAGGGCGATATTCCCCAAAAAACGCACTAAAGGGCGAAAGAAACGGGCTTTTCCAAAAAGGGCCAAAAAGGGCGAAAAAAAGGGCGAGCACCTTTGGGAAAGGGCTAGCTGCACACCGCACTGAATATTGTGTGACTCATGGTTGTTGGTTCTCCCGACTTCAACCTTTATTATCTATTCGTCCTTCAGTTGTTTACGTTTGCATTCGATGCTCAAGCCAGGCATACCTGTTCTCTTTCTGTACACATGTGCCACCGTGCATGGCCGGTTCGCATTACTTTCACCCCTTCCTCATTGACATACTCGAAATTTTTTATACCGTTGATAACTTCCAATATTTTATTTCATTTTATTGAAAACCACAAACCTTCAGACATGTGGATGTGCACATATACAGTATACATGGAAATTTTTTATTGTAATTTTTCATTGTTTAAGTATTCCCCAAAGGCTTTCGCCTATCGAGGGGGTTTCCAAACTTTCCATAATACCAAATCTGTGAAAGAAGTGATGAGCAATAGGTGAGCAAAGAAAGAGAAAAAGATACAGTCCAGGGCAGAGCTCTGCGCTTGAGCATATGATTGTGAGCTTGCAGAACTGGGACAATACGTGTAAATAAAGAGAAAAGGACCTACTGAAGTATAAGTTACTACAGTGAAACCTGTCTAAGACGACCACCGCTCAAGGGACCTTCAAAATGTGGTCTCTGTTACCAGGTGGTCGCCTTATCCAGGGTCACTTGACTGGAAATAGCACCCCTTGGTCCTGGTTGCAGTGGTCGTCTAGGACAGGTGGTCGCCTTATCCAAGTGGTCGCCTTATCCAAGTGGTCGCCTTGACAGGTTTTACTGTAGTTACGAATATGAGTCCACCAAGTAGCTAGTAACTTATCTCCAACAGTCCACCAAGGGGAACTGTCCCACCAAGGTGGACTGTTAGTCATAACTTGTACATGCAGGCCCTTTTCTCTTTACATACATGTAATTACCGGTACTATTGGCTCAACATCCGAGTTTTATAGCTTGCAATATCACTGTTTTCGGGCTGCAACGTGGCAAGCATATTTCGAGCACATGTTTATGCTTTTGGGTGATTTCGAAGGATAATTTTGAAGCAAGTGGCCAATATGCGAAGGGCATAATAATTATGCGAAATGTTTGGGCATATGGGGGCCCTCCCTATAAAATTATACCGGTACTAGGATGAAGCGATCTCGATGCGTCCCGTCCTGGAGGAATGTGTATGACTGTCGACTGTAGAGTTCACCTCATGACCTCTTGTACTTTTGGACTCTTGATGAAGCGGATCGCGGAAAGGCGACTCGTAGAATATGATACAGCTAAATCGCTCGCCGTTGTGTGTGAACCAGGGAGTCGTAGCCTACCCAAACCAGGTTTGGGTACGACTACATGGAGTGAACACAGTCTGAAATCGCCGTCCGAAATCGCCCGACACTACTGTCGACCGATTTCATGTCAAAATCGGGTCAGTGTCGGAGCTCCCGCCGAAGTATCGGTGGGGGAACCAGGCATCGTGAAAAATCATGTTGCTGATCAACGAGTTACGTAGATCTACCTGGTCGTAGAGGTCTACAGATTTTGATTCGGATCTTGATTATTATGGTCGGTCAGATCGGTCCAACCCGTCATTCTGCTATGTCACGCGGCTGTCGAGTGTCGTCGGCACGGGCTCGCTTTCACGACGCTTCGGTCACACATTCACGGCATGCAGGCAGCAGGGGAGGACATGCTTGTTGTTTGCAGTGCTAGTGACAAGGGTTTTCTCAAATTTGTTTCATTTCAAGAGAACGTGGCGATCTTTCTGCTGTCAAGAGTGGTAGCGGAACTCTCTTGCATAGAATGGTTCAGGAAAATGGACGCCGGAACTCGTTCCCGTTATGGCCCTTGAAGTTTGGCTATTTTTCGTAACGGAACTAGTGATCTGAAACTGCTGGCCATCGCGTTTCAGGATGCAATCGTCGTTCGTAATTGTGGTGGTGATGCGAACACTATTCAGGTGAGGGACTGTTGGCACGGTGGTGGTGGTGGTCGTGTGTTTTTAGTTCCATCGTGTGCTCTGGGCCAGCACTCGTCGTTTTGGATACCAAAATTCAGTCCTTTATGGACCCATACTGGAGTTTTCTCCACTTCCTAGGTGTCCGTAAGTACGTAGTTGTGCAACGAATCCTGCCGCTTTTTGTTGTAGACGAAAGACTCCAGAGGAAACCTGCCTACGAAATTTGAGCCAAATTGTAGCCTGAGATTGTCTATCCCGGCAATAATTTGTATGGCCTGCTCAGCCATGCTCCCTAAAGTCGCCACATGCCAAGGGGATGCATGTATTTGCTTGATCACTGCACGCACAGCCCTCTATGACGTCTGTAGATTGGGAGTCTGCAATAGCCGAATACAGTCAACTTTGCGTGTAACGACACTCGGCGGGGTATCAGAAAAGTGTCCTTAATCGCGAAGTGTCCTTATACCCGAAGTCTCATTGTATGTATTACAGTTAGGTGGGACTTTGCTCTGGGCATGGGAATTCTGTCGCTATTCGCGAATTGTCGTTATATCCGCAGTCGTTAAAGGGGAAGTTAAGGCAAAAATTAAAATTTCACCAGTTGTAGTCTTCGGGGTGCTGAGTCGAATGGTCGTGGTCCGAGGAAGCTGAGACGCTCCCTTCCTACTTGAATCCCAATCGAACTCGCGCACTTCCACCGAAACTGGGTGACTGCGCCCTACGAGATGGGGATTTGTATGCAAAATGTCACTAAAAGCGCCATTTCGTTCTTATAAAAGCACGGATGACCGCGATTGGCCCATATGTTGTAGTCTTTTGGACGCTGAGTCGACTGGTTTTGGTCCGAAAAGGCTGCGATGCAGCGTTCCGCCTTTATTCCCAATCGAACATGGTTGAACAAGCGGTCACGTGCTCCTGCGTACGCCAGTCACCTGGTCACCGTGCCTGCAGGGTACAACTTACTAGCCTGTTTGACCTTTTTTGGGTGCAGTCCTGTCACTCGAGTTGAACTCGAGTTGAACCTTGGTGTGAAAGTTGTCACCTGCTGGCGTGGTGACCAGGTGATTTGGGCACCCAGGAGCACGTGACCACTTGTTCAACCATGTTCGATTGGGAATAAAGGAGGAATGCTGCATCGCAGCCTTTTCGGACCAAAACCAGTCGACTCAGCGTCCAAAAGACTACAACATATGGGCCAATCGCGGTCATCCGTGCTTTTATAAGAACGAAATGGCGCTTTTAGTGACATTTTGCATACAAATCCCCATCTCGTAGGGCGCAGTCACCCAGTTTCGGTGGAAGTGCGCGAGTTCGATTGGGATTCAAGTAGGAAGGGAGCGTCTCAGCTTCCTCGGACCACGACCATTCGACTCAGCACCCCGAAGACTACAACTGGTGAAATTTTATTTTTTGCCTTAACTTCCCCTTTAATAAGCGAAGTTTGACTGTACCACATCGCATGCGATGCATGGTGGCAATGGTGAGACGAAACGGCAACCAAGCAGCACTCTATGGAGTGATTACACACCTTTGCAAGAGTATATAACCCCCAAGAGTGTGCAACTCTGCATAATATTATGGGGTCTCCGACGGCGAAAACTCACATCACTTGTCTCCGGTACATTCGTACTCGGTACAAACGAAGGATAGCGTGCGCTCAATCCGAATATCTGCCATGATCATGCTGGGGATTTGCATACGCGCAGTGAGTTCAGAGAGTGCTTTTTTAAATATATATATAACTCCGCTGCTCGCTAAAAACGGACTGGAAACGTACAACTGCGACACTGCACCGCGTGATGTGAGTTTTCGCCGTCGGCGCACCACATAGAAAGGGTATCAGGAGTTGCACACTCTTGGGAGGGGGTTAGAATAATACTCTTGATCTTTGTCATGTGACTAAGTTTGTGCAGAAAGTGATCATGTCATGTGGACAGTGGAACCGACATGTCCACCGACATCATGTGACCCTGGTCATGTGACTCTGGTCATGTCGGTGTAGAAAGTGACCACGGCATGTGGACAGTGGAACTAACATGGCCACCGACATCATGTGACCCATAGATGCGGGGGTTGAGTGTAGTTGGAAGTAACATAGCTGCCCTGTGTGATCATGTGATGGATGTGAATCACTCTCTAGATTCATGCACCACAGCCATGCGTAAACTGATCACAGGCTTTTCCGCCGAGTAGCTGCAAGCATAAAAGCGTTTTCCGAGCGATTTTCTATACTCCTCAAAAGTGTCGCACGTGTTGGTGTTCTTTAGTTGTAAACCATTGTCTTCTGCCATCCGTACTCTATTAGACTAAGTGAAGTTCTGCACTGGTGAGTGGAACACGGAAAAAACGGAATTCAGGGATAATGTTATTAAAACACATACTGTAAACTCTATCCGATGTGTTGTGGATTGGTGATGTCTGCATCCTTTTATACCCCTGTTGAGTATGAATTAGACCCAATATTCCCAGAAGATTGCACGGGAGGAGGTACCTAACACTCCTTATAGCTATGAGTATGAGTGAATTCCAGTGGCGTTTTATGCATGTCTTAGCTGTTGGACTCGGGTGGAGAGCCAGGACGTGCTAGAGCTGATTGGCAGTTAGTTGTAGGACGTCAGTGCCGTCAGTCAGTGTCGTGCAGTGTTATCGCACGAGCTGATTGTCAAGCAACTGGTGATGTTAGTGGACATTTTAGCATGACGTATAGTTTCATGGTCCTTTTCTTCGTTGTTCTGTGTTTCAGCTGCTCCGCAGTTGCTCAACATAACCAAGACCCAGACGAAGACGTCTCTCAACTTGACGTGCTACGCTAGCGGTCATACCGTTACCATACGCATTGACAGACCTGACTTTACTACGAGCACAATACCCGATTCCCTGCTGGCCAGCGACTATCAAGCGCACGGCTATCCGGCGGGCAGGTACTCTTGCGACGTGACGAGCCTCGCCATGTGCAACTCACCTGCCGACCGCAGCATATTGGAACTCTGTGACGATGGTCATTACGTCCGGCACATACACGTCCTGCAATATGGTCAGTACTGGGACAATAGGGGAAATTCCCAGATTGCCTAGAGTGCTACGTACAGCAAAACCTGGTGTAAGCGACCTCTAGGTTTAGCGACCACCTGCTCTTAACGACCGTGTTTCCATGCACTAACAGTTCTACACAGACACTGTGGGACCTGGTTCTAAAGACCACCTGGCTGTTAACGACCGCTTTTGCCTGCACCCTGCGGTGGTCGCTTAAACCAGGTTTTACTGTGCATGCACTATGAGGCAAATTACTTAGACATGCACTAACATTATGACATGTACAGCGCTGCTCCATGAAATCCAGTCGCTTCACTCAAGTTTGCGCCTTGTATCATTTCGCAGACCAGTGCTTGCAGGGTCCACGGCTGCGCACTGGCCGACGTGTACTTGAGCAACTTGACTGGATTACATTGAGCACATCTGTTTTATGACATGTACCACGGCATGTACTGTACACGTTTAATTCACACAGGCAGCGAGGTGACAACAGTTTTGAGATCTTTTTCAACAGTACCAGATGAATTGACACTTCATGGAACGGTTTATTGATTTGGAACACACGTGGCGAGAACGTCTTTTCCTATCACCAAGTTCCACATATAGAGTAAATTTGGGAAATACGTGCACGCGCAAGCTCGCACACACGCACACACACACACACACACACACACACACACACACACACACACACACACGCACGCACGCACGCACGCACCCACACACGTTCACACACACACACACACACACACACACACACCTATCCTATCCTGAACATTGCCGTAAGACGGTCACATGTCCCTTCATACGAGGGACCGACAGACATGGGGTAGGTCGGTTGAATACGGTACGCAGCACGCTCCGCAGGCTAGCAGCCAACGAGAGTTCTGGTATACTTTGTGCAGCTATGGAGTTGGAAACCCCTCTTTGATCGGCAACACCGGCCACATACGCTGTCGTAGTGCTGTGACAGCAGGGTAGTGATAGCTGAGTCCTCGCCGGCACCGGTACTGCCGCAACCGAGTTGGGCGCAGACAATGAAGCCCCCCCCCACACACACATGTGCACACACACATATACACACGCACACACACACACCCACACACACACACCTCCCAAAATGGTTGGGAATAGCCATTAGATGAGACGAGTGACATAATGAGGGTGTTCTGTTTTCCCTGTATTTTCACTCCACCTCAGCTGCCCCAATGGTGGAAACATTCTCCACATTGCATACAAGTAAAGTTGTAGGAGACAACGCAACATTTAACATCACCCTGAAAGGCACGCCCTATCCACATCCAACTATTGAATGGACGCACAACGGATCTCCAGTCAACACGAGCGCAGACAATGTGCAATTCTCCCGGGATGGTTTGTCATTGAGAGTGACCAACCTGACGCTCTCTGACATGGGTGTTTATATGGTCTCTGTGAAGAATGAGGACGGATCTGCTGACGTCACATTCTCCATTGATAATCCTGGTATGTATCTGTTAGGATACCGTCGCGTGTCGCTGTCTATCTCACGGTCTTTCTGCCGGCCTGTCTGCCACGTGTCTATCTGTCTGTCTGTATGGATGTCTGTCTGACTGACTGACTGACTGACTGACTGTCTGTCCGTCCGTCCGCCCGTCCGTGCATCCGTCCGTGCATCCGTCTGTCTGTCTCTTCAATAGAAGATAGCCAAGCCGCACGACAAGAAAACAACATTGAAATGTTTTCATTGGGTCAAATAATGCTGTCTGTCTAATGCAAGCGTGAATAGCCATACCACACAACAGGCGCAACACTTGATACTGACGAATGTCAGCGTTTTCACCGTATAAATTGGTCTTCTGCAGAGTGATGTTGAGAATGGTGTCGAGCACTGTTCACATAGGAGGAGGAGATATACTGTACGTGTAGAGACAGAAATAAGCTATCCGGCAACTCTGCAACTCCGCCGTCTGTGGTGACTCGAATATAGTATGCGCTGTGCGTATACGAAAAGGCAATGTCGTACGCTCATGATCAACGCATGGCTTTTCGCAGCAGTTTGCCTGCGTGGATCCTGAAGCACGGGAATCTCCCTTAGTGTTTCAACCAGCTTTCAAGCTTGGAGAGTTTTAAACTTCTCTAAGAGGATACAACGGCACACCCACATCGTCTCCACATAGAACAATGCTGGCAACTGAAATCCGACCCCCTGGGGGGGGGGGGGGGGGGTCACATTCTTTGCGATGTGAGCGCAGCACCGCTCAGGGGGTCGGATTTCAGTTGCCAGCACTGTACATGTTGTATTCATGTGCATACTTTTCACGAGGGAAACATGGATGCAGTGAATGGGATTTTCGGTCTTTGACCACTTTGTGGTGGGTCTGATCTACTCACTTCCCACCGCTTAGGAGCTGCATCTGCACCTTGACCCAAGAGGGTGGTGGCGTTCCCACGGCGGATGCGGACAACCTGGGCCTTCTGCCGAGTCTCACGCGAACCGTGAATTTGTTTCACGTACATGCAAGTACATGAGCCAGCGCACGCGAAAATCGACCTTAGGCCGATTCCACACTACGCCGAAAGTGGCTTTGCCTTGAAGGCATAAAGTGGCTTATATTAACTTATAAAGTGAAGCTGCATTCACACCTACAAAGTACAAGTGTCGATCACGGGACTTTGCTTTGAAGGTAGACTGTGAGGCTTTCCTGTGCTTGATGTAGCACCGGCGGTAGTGGAGAGGCTCTTTGTTGGTCCAAATCCTCGAATATCACCCATTTTCGCGTGCCCAATCTTGAAATTTGACCACGCTAGCGCGCGCTGTGTAGGCGGATTCCAGATCATAGGTCGAATATTTGTCAACCTCGCCAACAGGCATTCCGGTGGCAGTTTTCGTTGTGTATGTCTCGTACAGTCCTTTCGCCTTCGTTTTCATGTTGTCAATTTTGGAATGGACGATCGACGCAGTATAGATTGCCTCCTCCCGGAGCTGTTCAGCAAACAAATTCAGCTTGATGGCGATCTCCTCCGGCGTAGCTCCTGCGAACTGTACCGCCCGGAGGTCGCCTCAAACGTGCGCTCCAAAGCTCGATCAGCTTGCCCTCAAGCTCCTGGCTAAACATGACCCTAGGCATTGTTGACAGCCCACAACTCACCACAACTGAAAGATACGACAGGGAACACATTCGGAAAAAAATCGAAAGGCTGAAGAAAAGTCAGAAAAGTGTCCTGAAAAGGTAAAAAGTTGCCTTGAAAGAGGGTGCTGGTGTTGCTTTGTAGACAACAAGCACTTTTCACTTTCGCACGTTCCTCAAAGTGATCGCCATGGCAACTTGCCTGAAAAGTGCCTGAAAAATGGCTTTTTAGGCAGGATTTGGTGTAGTGTGGAATCGGCCTTAGTGACACGCACTTCAAACTGAGAAAACGCACTTCAAACATTCTCTGTTTTCGTGTGATGTGCGATATATCAGGGGAAATGGTATCTTCTAAGACCCGTAACTCAAGTTTTACTCAAGATTTTTTCAAACGTTTTTTTTGCGTTGAATTCTGCATAAATCCATCTGCCTTTATCCACTGTCATCTCAGTTTCTGAAAATATGTCACTAAGGGTGATTTTCGCGTGTGCTGGCTCATCTACTGCTGAGGTACAGTAAACCTGTGACTAACGACCACCCCTTGGCGCCAGAGAAAGCGGTCTTCGGTGGCAGGTGGTCCTTAGCTAGAGGTTTGCACCGCAGAACCATAATCATGAATGTGAGACCGTCTGTACCTGGCGAAATGGTCTTTAGTACCAGGCTGGTCGCTAGTCACGGTTGTCTTTAGTTACAGGTTTTACTGTAGTACCAGGCTGGTCGCTAGTCACGGTGGTCTTTAGTTACAGGTTTTACTGTAGTACCAGGCTGGTCGCTAGTCACGGTGGTCTTTAGTCACAGGTTTTACTGTAGTACCAGGCTGGTCGCTAGTCACGGTGGTCTTTAGTTACAGGTTTTACTGTAGTACCAGGCTGGTCGCTAGTCACGGTGGTCTTTAGTTACAGGTTTTACTGTAGTAGCAGGCTGGTCGCTAGTCACGGTGGTCTTTAGTTACAGGTTTTACTGTAGTACCCGGCTGGTCGCTAGTCACGGTGGTCTTTAGTCACAGGTTTTACTGTAGTACCAGGCTGGTCGCTAGTCACGGTGGTCTTTAGTTGCAGGTTTTACTGTAGTACCCGGCTGGTCGCTAGTCACGGTGGTCTTTAGTTACAGGTTTTACTGTAGTAGCAGGCTGGTCGCTAGTCACGGTGGTCTTTAGTTACAGGTTTACTGTAGTACCAGGCTGGTCGCTAGTCACGGTGGTCTTTAGTTACAGGTTTTACTGTAGTACCCGGCTGGTCGCTAGTCACGGTGGTCTTTAGTTACAGGTTTTACTGTAGTACCAGGCTGGTCGCTAGTCACGGTGGTCTTTAGTTACAGGTTTTACTGTAGTACCAGGCTGGTCGCTAGTCACGGTGGTCTTTAGTTACAGGTTTTACTGTAGTACCAGGCTGGTCGCTAGTCACGGTGGTCTTTAGTTACAGGTTTTACTGTAGTACCAGGCTGGTCGCTAGTCACGGTGGTCTTTAGTTACAGGTTTTACTGTAGTACCAGGCTGGTCGCTAGTCACGGTGGTCTTTAGTCACAGGTTTTACTGTAGTACCCGGCTGGTCGCTAGTCACGGTGGTCTTTAGTCACAGGTTTTACTGTAGTACCAGGCTGGTCGCTAGTCACGGTGGTCTTTAGTTACAGGTTTTACTGTAGTACCAGGCTGGTCGCTAGTCACGGTGGTCTTTAGTTACAGGTTTTCCTGTAGTACCAGGCTGGTCGCTAGTCACGGTGGTCTTTAGTTACAGGTTTTACTGTAGTACCAGGCTGGTCGCTAGTCACGGTGGTCTTTGGTTACAGGTTTTACTGTAGTACCAGGCTGGTCGCTAGTCACGGTGGTCTTTAGTTACAGGTTTTACTGTAGTACCAGGCTGGTCGCTAGTCACGGTGGTCTTTAGTTACAGGTTTTACTGTAGTACCAGGCTGGTAGCTAGTCACGGTGGTCTTTAGTTACAGGTTTTACTGTAGTACCAGGCTGGTCGCTAGTCACGGCGGTCTTTAGTTACAGGTTTTACTGTAGTACCAGGCTGGTCGCTAGTCACGGTGGTCTTTAGTTACAGGTTTTACTGTAGTACCAGGCTGGTCGCTAGTCACGGTGGTCTTTAGTTACAGGTTTTACTGTAGTACCAGGCTGGTCGCTAGTCACGGTGGTCTTTAGTTACAGGTTTTACTGTAGTACCCGGCTGGTCGCTAGTCACGGTGGTCTTTAGTTACAGGTTTTACTGTAGTACCAGGCTGGTCGCTAGTCACGGTGGTCTTTAGTTACAGGTTTTACTGTAGTACCAGGCTGGTCGCTAGTCACGGTGGTCTTTAGTTACAGGTTTTACTGTAGTACCAGGCTGGTCGCTAGTCACGGTGGTCTTTAGTTACAGGTTTTACTGTAGTACCCGGCTGGTCGCTAGTCACGGTGGTCTTTAGTTACAGGTTTTACTGTAGTACCAGGCTGGTCGCTAGTCACGGTGGTCTTTAGTTACAGGTTTTACTGTAGTACCAGGCTGGTCGCTAGTCACGGTGGTCTTTAGTTACAGGTTTTACTGTAGTACCAGGCTGGTCGCTAGTCACGGTGGTGTTTAGTTACAGGTTTTACTGTAGTACCAGGCTGGTCGCTAGTCACGGTGGTCTTTAGTTACAGGTTTTACTGTAGTACCAGGCTGGTCGCTAGTCACGGTGGTCTTTAGTTACAGGTTTTACTGTAGTACCAGGCTGGTCGCTAGTCACGGTGGTCTTTAGTTACAGGTTTTACTGTAGTACCAGGCTGGTCGCTAGTCACGGTGGTCTTTAGTTACAGGTTTTACTGTAGTACCCGGCTGGTCGCTAGTCACGGTGGTCTTTAGTTACAGGTTTTACTGTAGTACCAGGCTGGTCGCTAGTCACGGTGGTCTTTAGTTACAGGTTTTACTGTAGTACCAGGCTGGTCGCTAGTCACGGTGGTCTTTAGTTACAGGTTTTACTGTAGTACCAGGCTGGTCGCTAGTCACGGTGGTCTTTAGTTACAGGTTTTACTGTAGTACCAGGCTGGTCGCTAGTCACGGTGGTCTTTAGTTACAGGTTTTACTGTAGTACCAGGCTGGTCGCTAGTCACGGTGGTCTTTAGTTACAGGTTTTACTGTAGTACCAGGCTGGTCGCTAGTCACGGTGGTCTTTAGTTACAGGTTTTACTGTAGTACCAGGCTGGTCGCTAGTCACGGTGGTCTTTAGTTACAGGTTTTACTGTAGTACCAGGCTGGTCGCTAGTCACGGTGGTCTTTAGTTACAGGTTTTACTGTAGTACCAGGCTGGTCGCTAGTCACGGTGGTCTTTAGTTACAGGTTTTACTGTAGTACCAGGCTGGTCGCTAGTCACGGTGGTCTTTAGTTACAGGTTTTACTGTAGTACCAGGCTGGTCGCTAGTCACGGTGGTCTTTAGTTACAGGTTTTACTGTAGTACCAGGCTGGTCGCTAGTCACGTTGGTCTTTAGTTACAGGTTTTACTGTAGTACCAGGCTGGTCGCTAGTCACGGTGGTCTTTAGTTACAGGTTTTACTGTAGTACCAGGCTGGTCGCTAGTCACGGTGGTCTTTAGTTACAGGTTTTACTGTAGTACCAGGCTGGTCGCTAGTCACGGTGGTCTTTAGTTACAGGTTTTACTGTAGTACCAGGCTGGTCGCTAGTCACGGTGGTCTTTAGTTACAGGTTTTACTGTAGTACCAGGCTGGTCGCTAGTCACGGTGGTCTTTAGTTACAGGTTTTACTGTAGTACCAGGCTGGTCGCTAGTCACGGTGGTCTTTAGTTACAGGTTTTACTGTAGTACCAGGCTGGTCGCTAGTCACGGTGGTCTTTAGTTACAGGTTTTACTGTAGTACCAGGCTGGTCGCTAGTCACGGTGGTCTTTAGTCACAGGTTTTACTGTATATAGTTTCCTGGCCTCCTGAGAACGAGACGGGGACAAGTTTAACTGGTTATACTGATGGTAGCATCAAGTGAGTGCAAGTATATAAAAAATACATGTCATGGCGACATTTTCTTCACAACCGTTCTATCCCGCGGTGGTAACAACGTGCTCTGACAGAACCATTACCGTATTTGGGCACAGGTTATGCGATCGAGTCCACCAACTAGACCAGATTTTGAGCAGTCAGACGTGCACAATACGGCACTAAACTGACAAAGAGAGACTTTCCGACAGTTCAAAATCCGTTTTTTTTTAGTTGGTGCACTCAATCCCATAACTTGTGTCCTAATACGGTAATGTTCCTGTCGGAGCACATTTTTACCACAGCGGGATAGAACGGCAGTAAAGAAAATGTCGTCATGACAGTCGGGTATTTTTTTCTAAACTGACAGAGTACTGAGACTCTGCGACTGTTCAAAATCCAGTTTAGTTGGTGGACTCGTTCGCATAACCTTTGCCCACGATTTCCCATGTTACAATGTTGTCCCTGGCTGACCATCTGAGTTCTTGATTTCCGTATTTTCCCGAATATAAGTCGCACCATTTAACACCACAGCGCCAATGGAGGGGGGGGGGGGTGGTGGGGGTGCGACTGACAATCGAGAATCGAGCACGACTTACTACCGAAGTGAATACCGTATATTCTCTATTATAAGCGCCGTGCTTATATTTTTTTCAACACCCCTCTACCCCGTGCTTATTTTGGAGACCGCGCTTATATTGGAGACCGACCGTATATGGCAACGATACGGCATGGCCGTGGAAAATGGGATCCGACCTACAACCAGGGGAAATATGGTATGCTCATATTGTTGTAACTTCCTTTTCTCCACCTGCTCCCAGTCCCGTGCCATCTCCACACTTAAAAAAAGGGACGACGATAACTACATTTGAAAGACTGTTTATTGCAAGACGACTACGGAAACACAACTAGACATGGCGAACTCAAGACGAAGACTGCTTTTCACACCACAGCAACACGCGCATGCACCAACACGACGTACACACGACGTACACAAAATAACGTACTTCAACAATACCATAGCAGCTCTTGCTCCTGATTGCAACTTTCAGTCTTAAAACGTTTCGTTTCCTTCTTCACGTATTTTTTAAGTATACATGACACTAAAAAATTCGGATGTTGAGCCCATAGTGACGTGGAAAGAGAAAAGGACCTATAAGTTACTAGTTATGACCACCAATCCACCAAGGTACCCCACAATATCCTTTAACATTGTATTTACAGTGGGTCCAATGTTATTAGGCATTTTGCCTGTTTTGATTTCCACTATAGATAAAGTGTACAACAAAGGTAGCAAGATATTATACAGTCAGGTAGTGTGACAACAATACAAGTGACACGTTGTTAATATTCTGTTTCCCTTGTATTTTCATTCCTCTCCAGTGCCACCTGTTGTGGACACGTTCTCGGCCTTGAACAACACCAGACTGCTCGGTGAAAATGTCACGTTCTACGTCACACTGAAACACACACCATATCCAGTGCCAGCTATCGTATGGACGCACAACGGATCTCCAGTCAATACGGATGTGGACAAGGTGCAGTTGTCCAGTGATGGTTTGCGATTGAGATTGACCGACTTGATGCCCTCGGACAGCGGCGTTTACACTGTCCTGGTTAAGAACGATGTCGGATCTGAAAACATGACGTTCACCATGGATGTTCAAGGTATGTGCTGATATGTTTTCCTGTTGCTGTCTGTCTGTCAGTGTCTGTCTGTCTGTCTGTCTGTGTGCATATCTGTCTGTCTGTCCGTCCTTCCATCCGCCCGTCCGTCCTTCCATCCGCCCGTCCGTCCGTCTGTCTGTATATCAGTCTATATCATACAAGAGTGGATAGGCGAGCCACACAACGGCAGCATTAGGAAAGGTATTGCTGCGTCCAGTTTGTTACACGAGTGTGTCAAGCGATTTTTTTTATCATCATCATCTCTCTCTCTCTATCTCTATCTCTATCTCTATCTCTATCTCTATCTCTATCTCTATCTCTCTCTCTCTCTCTCTCTCTCTCTCTCTCTCTCTCGTCTCTGTATCTCTTGTCTGTTCCCCAGTTCCTCCAATACTTGACCAGTCCTCAGTCCTGAACAACACGTGGCCAATCAATGGAACCGACTTTCTTTTCGTTCTTCTGAAGCATTCTCCTATTCCAGCGCCCACAATCGTATGGCAGCACAATGGATCCCCCGTCACAGGGGTGAGCGCGGTGACATCATCTAGCAATAGCTCGTCGTTGATGTTGAAAAATCTAGCAATGTCTGACGTCGGAGTGTATACAGTCACGATCAGCAACGCTGTGGGATCAGAGAAAGTGACGTTCTTCTTGGACGTTCAAGGTATGTTCTGAAATTGCTATCCTTGCCCTGTCTAACTGGCTGTATGTATTTCTGCCCGCCCGTCCACCCACCTACCCACCTACCAATCTGTTGATCTGTTGCGCTTTCTGCTTTTCTGAATCATCTGCCTGTTTTTCTGTCTGTCTGTCCATGTGTCTGTCCATCGGTCTGTCCATGTCTCTGTCCATCTGCCCCTGTGAGATTCCGTCCATTCTCTTGTCGGTCGGTTGGTCTTTCAGTCGGTCCGGTCGTCCGTCAATTAGTTGGGGGGCCATACTGGTGGAGGCGATACTTGATCCTGTCGACATAGTGATATGCAAGAGGACAGCGGCTACTCTAATTTCAGAAATTTTCGGTGGTCAATATTTTCGGTATGAGGGCAAAGGGCCAGGTTAGGTGAACAGAAATTTTAGGTGCAGAGAAGAAGTTCCCTATTGGATTATGTGTGTTAGTATTTTATTTGGTGTGTTGAAATTTTAGGTATGAAACAGATGCACCGAAAGAACCAAAAATAAAAGTACGCCGAAAATTTGTGAAATTACAGTATATCGGTTGTCAAAGAGCCAGAACTGACGAGAAAAGAAAATTTCTCGTTTGCGTCTTCCTTCAAACCAGTGAACGTTTTATGACTTGGGGCTCGCCGTGTTTGTACGTGAAGTGTGTGGGCTACAGCGAGGGCTGCGTCCCACCCGCCTGTCTGGATTCACAGGAAGTTTGAGTTACGAAGTCTGAAGAAGATGTTGAACGGTCTCTGCCGGGACGACGACTACACCATAGCTCAGTGGTTAGAGCATCGCTGGCTACAAGCGAGGGTCCCTGGTTCGAGTCCTGGTGGTGACAGTCAACTTTTTCTTCAGACTTTTCCCGTTTGCGTCTTTCGATCAATCCAGTGAAAATAAATTAAAATTTAGTAATTTACCTATTAAGAGCCGTTCGAAATCTCTATTTTAACGGTCCAGGTACCACCCCCCACCCCCCACCCCCCTCCCCATGCTCACGCACACATGTGGATATTGGTTTTTTCAAGTACATTGTGCATCCCGCTCATGGGTTTGGCTAGGGTATGGAAAGGCTTAGGTACATCCTTTAAAAATCACACACGATTGTTGTCCGGGCTCCTTTTCAAAGTACTAGTAAATGTTATCACTCCGCGCACGTGACCGCAAACTCTTGCACGTACATGCACAGAAAGGCCAGACAACTGTTTGCGGATAGCGTGCTTCTTCTATATCATATTGCTGGCTGACCGTGCGTTTAAGGGGCCTTCCGTAAATACCGACATTTATTTAGAAACGAAAACTAGTCGTTTCTCTTCAACCCCCCCTCCCCCCCTCCCTCCCTTTCCCCTACCTGAGAAACGAACACATACAAATGGTACATTGCAGGGCTGCCACTTCCTCCGATTTTTCGGAAGTCGTCCGATTTGTCTGACAAACCGACCGATATTGTTCCCAAAGAGGGACCACCGATTATTTAATTTTGAGCGCTTTTTAGTCCAGTTGGCCATTAATTCATAATTGACATGGTTGTAGTACGTGTGCTGGACAGTTAAAAATGTGTTCTGGGGCCCCAACAGTAAGCCATTTTCCTAAAAAATTTCACCAAGGGGGCCCTGCCCCCTGCACCCCCGCCGGTGGACACCCCGGACCCCCCCCCGTCAGATTTTTCTCCATGCAAGTGTGGCAGGCCTGCCATAGTATCTATATTATGTTTGATCTTTTTTCTGGACATACTCACGCATGCAAAATGTACATCGATATTTTTCGAGAAATGACCAGGCGCTCAACCCCCACCCCCTAAACGACTAGTTTTCGTTTCTTAACCCATTCAGCGCTACTGGGCCTTGCCTATGGTACTCTGTATATAAAATGCTAAAAACAGGGCAAATAGAAAGTTCTAAAACTCCAGGGTTCTGGCAACTGGTTCCTCACATATTTTGGAAATGATTGCCAAGACTATCTATCAACCACAGGGTGACAGAATCGATACAGTCCCCGAAAAGAATAGCGCTTCACAATAGGGGACGCAAGTTTGCTCAAATTGTGTGAAATACGCTAAATGTGTGCAATTGCAGCTGAAAGATCGCTGAAAAGAGAAGAAAAAAAGACGCATAGTGTTACCAAGCGGGATTCGTATCGATGACCTATCGTACAAGAGGCAGGTTCATGATCCAAATGACTAACAGTGCTTTTACACTCTTGATAGTGACGGAAATCACTATAATTATATCCCATGACGTCTATAGACGTCATCCCACGCATGGGGTTCATTTTCAATGACGTCTATAGACGTCATCAGCGTTCAATGGGTTAATAATATCTATACTGGAAATCATGAATATGTAACGAACAAGTAAATCTAACGAGTTAACGAGCAAAGATAAGTCTCTCTTTTAAAAGTCGTTAGCAAAAGTCGTATGCTTTTGGGCCTCGCACGATTGAAATCGATCATTTCACATTATGGCATGCAGCGCATGTTCAACGGATCGTAACTCGGTCAATTCTCAACGGAATTCAACAATGGAATAGATCTAGATGATAGCAGAGACGCTCAGCAGTCGGTGCGAACAACTCCGAAGTCTCTCAGATGCATTTTGACGAAGTGGCAGGAGATCGAAAAATTGGAGATTTTAACGCTCTTACGCTTGATAAAATTAATTTCATTTTCTTTATTCTCCTGAGATCGATGTCTTGCTTCTCAACACCATGTCGCAGCGGCGTTCCTGGTTTACTGTGATTGACAAAAACGAATGTCCTTGACGAGCATTCGCAGTACTTCGAAGTATTATTGCATCTGTCTGAGAAAATCGTTAAGTTTTCAAACCGTTAACCTTCGAAAATCAGAAAATCGTTAACTTTGCGGGTCGTTAAAATTATGTGATTTACAGTATTTGCGGATGGCCCGTAAGCAAGATATCACGAACACGTATAGGTTCTACTCGGATGGTGAGCCAATTAAATTATGTTGAAAAAGGAGAAGGACAACATGTTATGAGTTACGAGTCTTGGAGAAGTGCTGGAGCTAGGTGTCAGGTCGCCGAATGTCTCAGTACTCCTTGTCAGTTTTCTGCCATTTTGTCGCACTCGCTGACTGTACACGATCTGGCTACGTCGGTGGACAGTTAGTCATAACTCGCAACATTTTGTCCTTCTCCTTTTCAGAAGATCCCCTCGATAGGCCCAAAGCCTTTGGGAAATCCTTAAAATATAATAAAATACGAAAATACAAATACGTATAGGTTCTTATTAACATTTCCTTGGTGTTTGTCTTACCTACCCAGTGATCCCAAGAGTGAGTGCACACTCATCCTTACACAGAACTGTGCAGCTCGGTAAGCCCGCCAACTTTTCCATCACCCTGGAGCACGCGCACCGTACAATGCCGACGATCGTCTGGTCGCACGTCAGACATCCAATCAATGCCAGCGATGACAGGGTGCAGTTGTCCAATGGTGGACTGTCGTTGGAACTGACCAACGTGGTGCCGTCGGACAGAGGAGAGTACGAAGTCTTGGTGCAGAACGGCGCAGGCTATGATCACGTAAAATTCCAGCTGTATGTTCGAGGTAAATGGTGATATAACTACATGAAGGGCTCCAATTGAGAACGCGACCAAACCAAACCGGAGCTTTTGCGTTTTTTAGTCACGGAAGAATTTTTTTTCAGCCCACGGACGTCTGTGTCGGCATTACGGGTCAAAACGCGATACATCCCAGTCAAAATGATGCCTGAAGTTTGTGTTCTGCTGCAAAACGCGATAAAAGTCATTGATGCTGCTGTGTAGACCAGAAGCGAACAAATGAAAAACTGCAGTTCCTGAACTTTCCACAAAATGGATTTATCTCGTTTTGAATTGGAGCCCTTCACATGTACTTGATTAATACTGTGTGCCTGTCTCTCCATCTGGCTCTACCTGTCAGTCTTTCTTCCCACACATCATCCTTCCCAGTGCTATTAGTCAACATGGTTTTTTCTTCAGATTTTGACATTTTGACAATGATCCAAGTAATGCAAGACTTCACATTTTGCCACAAGCACCATCGATCGATTTCGTTTTAAAAACTCGGATGTTGAGCCAATGGGCTTATTGCGCAATGGCGTAATATGTACCATAAGCACCCCACACAGACACCTGGGCATGGTCGTCTGGGGGTGTTGAACAGTGCATTGCTGATCCCAGTGTACTCACATGCATTACTCATATGTTCCATATCTGGTAATGCGCAATGGGCTTGTAGTAATTATGTAAATAGAAAAGGACCTATAAGTTACTAGTTATGACTAACAGTCCACCAAGGTAACGAGATAATAATTATGCCGTCAGATAGTGCGACAGCAAGGCACAAAACTGACAAGGATATTGAGACATTCGACGACCTGACACCTAGCTCCAACTCATCTACATATAGGTCCTTTTCTCTTTCCAGATTTATTTTTCGACAGTTGTTGGCACCCTGCTGTGATCATAACTGGCAACTTACAAGTTTGACTCTGTAAGCAGTGTACTATTGTCTGTCTGGCGCCGAAGAATGGAACGCCGAAGAACGACCAGGCTGGAACTTTACCAAGCACAGCATACCAATGTGTACACGAGGACTCAACTGTGCATAGACTGAAATACATGAAAATATGAACGGTCTAAGGGGTCGTCCATAAACATCGAAAAGTGTTTTTGCACAAAACGAAATAATTTCGTTATGGGGTGGGAGGGGGTTAACCAATTTCGCTTCGGAAAGCATTGACACATGTAAGTAAATTTTTATTATATATATATTATATACATGTCAACAAACAATGGATCACTCATAATATTTCGCTACTCCGAGTTTCATGCACTGTGTGCAATCATCAGGCGAACAATATTCAATGCAGACTGGTCAAAGCATAATGGGAATTTAAGGTGGATGCAGGCGGAAGCAAGTGTAAGGCTTAGCGGGACCCCTGATACGTAATCAATGGGCTAACTTGCCGGCTGAGAAGTGTGTGAAGCTGAGTGCTAGATGACTATAGCATAGTGGGGCAGTGCAATTTGCCAAGGCGCTAGCTGTTGGATGCCTGTACTACAGCAGAGCCAATTTGCAGTGGGGGGGGGGGGGTTGCCAGCTGTTGGATGCCTGTACTACAGCAGAGCCAATTTGCCAAGGCGCTATCTGTTGGATGCCTGTACTACAGCAGAGCCAATTAAGTCCGACGAGTTACAGTTAGGTGCAATGGCGGCACTTGCCTCTTTGGTGGTGTTAGGATTCAGGTGTTGGGTGCTGGATGCCTGTACTACAGCAGAGCCAGTGAAGTCTGAGGAGTTACAGCTGGGTGCGATGGTTGCACTAGTCTTTCAGGTGTGAAAATTCAGGTGCGTGCTGGATGCCTGTACTACAGCAGAGCCAGTGCCACACCAGGACATGCCTTGCTTAGCAAAGCATACTGGATGCCTGTACTACAGCAGAGCCAGTATGCGCTATTTTGCTAAGTCACACCTGAATGCTTGCTCAGCTGGTATCTAGTGCTGTGCCGGCATTTGGCGATGAGGTCACACCTTGTGTTCAGGAGGGTTGCTTTGTCGGCCGTGATAATTTCTAGCTTCTCTGTTAGACAGAGGTTACAGCGCTTAGTTGTTGGGCTGTACGACTTGGCTCTGCGCTTGACGTTCCATGACACGTTGTACTCCTGACCCTGGTTTTTGAGCGACCAAACGTAGCTTGACAGCTCGGTGGAGTTGCGGTATTTTTCGTGCCGCATTGAGGTCTTGTGATTGGCGTGACGAAGTTTGAAGGGCGTCTCAGCCGAACCAATGTAGTACTTACGGTCGTTTGCGCCGCCCACGATTGCTTCGTACACGACACAATCGGTCTGGCATGCTCCACGCAGCGGGCAGTTGCTCCCCCCAAGAAATTGGATGTTGAGCACTTTTTCTGCAGCTACAGGCATAGTCTTACTAAGTATATATTATATATATATTCAATCTGCGGACAGCATGCTGTTTCGTTCTTTTTGAACTCATCAGCGCAGCACAGAGGAAATGAGGCCGAACCTGATAGCAATGGAAATAAAAATTTCCAATCAGGCCCGAACGTACCTTGCCAGAGTGCTCAAACTGACAAGTCAGTGAGCTCTGCATAACGCAAACAGCAAAGGCACTACCCCACGCAAGAGTGCTCAACTGCTACAAGAGCAGGAGCGAAATATATATATATTATATATACTCAATCAATATATTATATATATATAATATACTCAGTAAGACTATGCCTGCAGCTGCAGAAAAAGTGCTCAACATCCAATTTCTTGGGGGAAGCAATGACACATGTCAACAAACAATGGATCACTCATATTGTTTTGCAACTCCGAGTTTCAAAACAATATGAGTGATCCATTGTTTGTTGACATGTATATATATTATATTATACACACACAACAGAGGCGAAAGGCTGTGTTAGCTGTAACTATATAATTATTTTAGGGCTTTGTTATGTCATCGTATGTATTTGTGCAGGCGTTGTGGCCGGATTCCTGCAAAAAACAAATTGATACATGTAGGTGGCGATAGGAGCAGTGACACATTTGCAACTTTTACATGTACTATATCAACATTTTTCACATTCTGAGGGGAGGGAGGGAGGGAAGGGTTGTGTCCAAACTAAAACAATTCGTTTGGTGAAAAAAGTTCGATATTCATGCTAGAATGCAATTAAAATGAAACAATTCCAGAACTTTCTGGAATTGTTTCATTTTAATGGTTTTATACATGGTTATGAGTCCACACTTGATATTTTTCATTGCTATTTTACGACTGTTGTTTCCTCGTCGGTTGTGTTACTTTTGTATTTACTATTGTCCCCCCCCCCCCCCCCCCCCCAGTTCCTCCAGTTGTGGACACGTTCTCAACGTTGAACAATACAAGGCTAACCACCACCGGCGACATCTCATTCTACGTTACCCTGAAGTACACACCCACACCAGCGCCGACTATCACATGGCTGCACGATGGAGTGCCGATTGACACCAGTGAAAGCAGGGTACAATCGCAGGAGGATAGTTTCTCCTTGCACTTGGCTAATCTGGCCGTGTCCGACAGTGGATCGTACACCGTCTTCATTAACAACACCGTGGGTTCTGAGAAAGTGGTGTTCTTCCTGGATGTTGAAGGTATGGAAATACTAACCCTCCTTTTCCAACTTGTATGCTTGTGTGCAGGCCTGCATGATGGCCTGACTGCATGCGTGTGTGCGTGTGTGCGTGTGTCTGTCTGCCTACCTGCCTGCCCCGCCTGCCCGCCCGTTTTTTTGTTAGTGCTAACTGTTGCGTATTCTTTTTCTCTTTTTCTTATTTCATGCCCAGTGCCTCCAGAGGTGGGCACATTCTCAACTTTGGACGTCAGCAAACGGCTTGGCAAACGCGCCACGTTTTCCATCGCCCTGAACACAACACACCGCACAATGCCGACTATTGAATGGTCGCACAACGGATCTCCCATCAACACCAGCGCAGACAGCGTGCAGTTGTCCAATGGTGGACTGTCGCTGAAACTGCCCAAGCCGACGCCATCGGACGCGGGAGTTTACACAGTTTTGGTGTGGAACAGTGCAGGGTCTGATAGGGTGACATTCACGCTGGATGTTCGAGGTAAATGCTGACATATGTTGCCTGAGGATCGTAGTGATACGTGAAACTCAGAGTGGTGACAAAGCTTCCAATCTCTCTTGTGTACATGCTGATATATATATATATATATATATACAATATTACACAGCAATGAATCAAACCAGTCTCATTCCGCTGTAACTCCGAGTTTCGTGTCAGAACACTTCATCAGACAGCGTCCAGTGGACATTGAGCACTGTAAGCAGCCTAGGGACTTTAGACAACTGTATATATATATATATATATATATATATACACTCAGACACAAAGGATCTCCAAGTTTCTCAGTGTTGCTACTCTGAGTTTCGTGCAAAAGCACTTCTATTGTTCTATATATATATATATATATATATATATATATATTTAAATAGAGATGTAGGCGAACAAAATTTATATACACACAACAACAAGGTTGTCAATTTCATAATACTAAAAGCTTTTCACCCATTTTCATCAGTAGATACATGGGAATGAGCAAGAACGAAAACGAAGCCAGAATTTATACTGGGGGTAGGAATCAGCAAGAATATTCTTACGTACGTTGGTGAGACATGTCAGCGATTCTCGGAAAGGATCAAGCAGCATATCCCAGACAAGCTGTACAAGAAGCCGCCTGACAAACGTGTGGCAACAAGTGATAGCGCCATCACAAAGCATTTGCAGGCGCAACCTGAATGCATCCCGCAAGAACGCAACAGCAGCTTCAGTGTCATCACACCAGCCCGGAACAGCGCGCACAGATTCACACTGGAGGCGCTGTACATTCGTAGCTTGAGGCCAGAGCTGTGTCGACAAAAGAAGCACATCAAGGTGCTACGGCTGTTCAAGCTGCAACCGGACTGACAGCTTTATCACGTGTTTGTTCTGGTACTGCATTCCCCTCATGTGTTGTTCCCGCATTTTTCCACCGCTCCATACATTCTTATGGTAGTGTAGTGTGAATTTGAGGCGCGTAAGAATATTCTTGCTGATTCCTACCCCCAGTATAAATTCTGGCTTCGTTTTCGTTCTTGCTCATTCCCATGTATCTACTGATGAAAATGGGTGAAAAGCTTTTAGTATTATGAAATTGACAACCTTGTTGTTGTGTGTATATATATATATATATATATATATATACTCAATCTGCGGACCATATATATATATATATATGACTGGTTTGAGGGAAAGAGACAAACGGGAAAAGTCTGAAGAAAAAAATTGACTGTCACCACCAGGACTCGAACCAGGGACCCTCGCTTGTAGCCAGCGATGCTCTAACCACTGAGCTATGGTGTAGTCGTCATCCCAGCAGAGGCCGTTCAACATTTTCTTCAGACTTCGTAACTCACACTTCCTGTGAATCCACACAGGCGGGTGGGACGCAGCCCTCACTGTAACCCACACACTTCACGTACAAACTAGCACGTATATATGTGACCATTACTGGTTGTCTGTTACCGTAATTCGCCGAATATAAGTTGCACCTTTTTACACTCAACTTCAAGGCCAACAACGGGGGTGCGACTTAAAATCGAGCACGATTACCACTGAAGTGAGTATATCGAATCGATAGGACTTGGACTTGAAAATAGGAGTGCGACTTGCAATCGAGTGCGATTTGCAATCGGGGAAATACGGCACTCCGTTTGCCTTTGTCAGTCTGCCTGTCCACCTCTCTCTTCTTCTTGTCTACACACATTTTTAATTCGGCTCATTCAAATTTTAGGGTTCACGGATTGGCATGCTAGCGTAGCCAGCTACATCATGCACGTGACAGGCGCGTGCATATACTGTACCACACAATCGGTCAGTGCTCAAATCGCATTTTCCCATCAATATCACTCACTTTCAACTCTACGGGATTCATTGCGGTTGGCTCAAACTGCCTGAATTTTTGAATCCACACGCACGAAAGACGTTCCAAGACTTCCACCGTTCGTATTTTTTCAAACGAGTTCCGGGTTTTCCAGTAACTTTGGCAAAAGTTCGGCTAAAAAAAACAGGGGTAGCCGTTGCATTTCTGTAAAATATTGAACGGTAGAAGGATAGCCAAGGTCGAGAGCAAAACAACAAGCCATTATTTGTCAAAATCGAACAAGAAACGGCTCAGCGCATCTATTTTCAGTGCGCGTACTTTGTCTACTAATCCACCAAGGTACCCCACAATATCCTTTAATGATAGCTTGCATACCGTCCTACCGGTAGGACCCAAGAAATCGCGCTGCAAAAGTGCTTTTGGTTGAGAAATTTCTTGAAACAATTGTTGAGATGAGGTCTTTGTCAGGCAAAGTAATGGCGCAAAATGCAAGGCTATGTCCAGTGTATTGCATATGCGCAATTTGACCATGGCACATCAATCGTGGTGAGGTCCTAATGTTTCTATTAGCCTGCCAAGGCAGTGTGATGCATAATTCCATACTCTGTTTCCATGGTTACCATAGGCTGTTACCGTGGAATTTCGTAGTATGCCTTGTGCGATCATGTCTAAAATTTATGGACTCCTTCATTAGCCCCTGAGCAACAGTTTAGGGTCAAGCTTTAGGTCAATGTTAGAACATAGGCCATGCAGCATGTCTGTGTATGATGGTCCTACCGGTAGGTCCTACCGGTAGGACCTCGGTCTATGCAAGCTATCATTAACATTTTATTCACAGTGGGTCCAATGTTATTAGGCATTTTGCCTGTTTTGATTTCCACTATAAATAAAGTATACAACAAAGGTAAGGGGCCGTCCGTAAAAATCGATATTTTTTTAGAGACGATATTTGTTCATATCTCCCCAGACCCCTAATACGAACATACATACATTTATGCAGTGGACCGATATTTTGTATATTGAACGGTTTGTGTGTACAGGTAGGTACATAATACGTGCTGCAGTACTAGTAGTAGTACAAGTCACAAGGTTCAAGTGCCTGCATGCTGCATGGTGCACGAGCCGAGACAAGCAAGTACAAGGTGCATACCTAAAAATAGCAGCTGTGAAGATCAATGTTTTTTCCGCCAAAAACAACGAACAGGGTCAAAACCCCCGCCATACGAACGAATATCGTCTCTAAAAAAACATTGATATTTACGGACGGCCCCTAACAAGATACTACACAGTCAGGTAGTGCGACAACAATACAAGTACAGGGATCGATTTACCTTGATTTTTTTGCATAGCAGTCACTGCTAAACAGTTTTACAATTGACTAGCAACTCCCAGTATTGATTAGCAGTTTTCCTTCATCAAAAGTTTACATGTATAGCTTGTACAATAGCAGGATTTCGTAAAGAAGAGGACAATAGCTGCAGTTGCTATTTGCTTTTCCAAGCGAATGTTCGACCTGAATATTTACATTAGAGTTTTCGCTTGGGCACGTTACATGTTCAGCGTCCATCCGTCTTCGAGTTCTTCACAACACAATGTCTTTCAACAGGGCAGTTCCACTGATTCCTTCGACAAAGAAACCTCAGGAAAGCGCTCAAACGATCGTGACATTTCGTGCAAAGCGCATCGAATTTCGCTTTTCTCCTTTTCTTCATCGAAACGAATCGACATTCCTGGCGCGTCCAGTTCTTTGTCCCTCTTCTGGACAGTGAATCACTGATCAGACTCACTGACATGTTGGCTACATGAGACTAAGAACCATCGACTTCAACTGTGCCTTGTCAAACAGAAACAAACTGAGCTTGACAGTGAAAGAAGAAAGGAGAACATCAGGAAAAGTCACCGCCGTGTACAAAACTTCAGAAGACTGCAGTCATGTACGACCAGTGCTAGTGCAGTGTCCAAAATCGAAAGAGCGCGATCCGCGAGTCCGCGACCCGCGCGGACTGAGCAGGACAGGCCAGTTGGTTGGAGTAGTAAAATACTACTCCCTAGTCAGCAGTGTGTACAACAGTCAACAGTCGCATGTAGACTGCACACAACTGGTCTTTGTAGTGCATCGCAGTTTTGGGCGATAACAAACGAAAAGCGAATCGCAGCCAGTGAATTTTGATTCGCAAACTGCGATGCGAACCCGGATAAATCGATCCCTGAAGTGACACATTGTTATTATTCTGTTTCCCTTGTATTTTCATTCCTCTCCAGTGCCACCTGTCGTGGACACATTCTCAGCCTTGACCAACACCAGACTGCTCGGTGAAAATGTGACGTTCTACGTCACACTGAAACACACACCATATCCAGTGCCAGCTATCGTATGGACGCACAGCGGATCTCCAGTCAATACGGATGTGGACAAGGTGCAGTTGTCCGGTGATGGTTTGCGATTGAGATTGACCGGCTTGATACCCTCGGACAGCGGCGTTTACACTGTCCTGGTTAGGAACGATGTCGGATCTGAAAACGTGACGTTCACCATGGATGTTCAAGGTATGTGCTGATATGTTTTCCTGTTGCTGTCTGTCTGTCAGTGTCTGTCTGTCCGCCGTCCGTCCGTCCGTCCGTCCGTCCGTCCGTCCGTCCGTCC